AAAAAAACATAAATAGGTTTTGGTTCTGTGATTTGACAATTGAAAAACAAAAGCAGATAGAATATCATGCAAATCTCTTTGTAGTTGCAATAAATTCTTGAACAAGTTTAAATATTGCAATATTTTGGTTGTATGTAAGATTACTGTCTCCATTTAGAATAAGTTGTAAACATAAAGGCATTGGTAATTGCAAAGTATTAAAGTTTTGTATTAGGTTCTGTCTTTGCATACAGTATTTTGGACAATTCATAAAATAGTGATATGATGTTTCTGAATTAAACCCGCACATGTCACAACTTTTATCTTCCTTTAAAAAATGATTAAATAAGTCAGCATTTAAATTACTAGCATTATTTCGCAACTGACTATGCAATATATTCATTTTACGACTTCCATAATTGTAATATTTCTTAGGTTTTATGCAGTATATATTCTTTATGGCAGTCTTGAATGATGTAAGTGAAGAAAGGTTTCGGATATTAAATGGTAAATTATTCCAAAGTCTTATAGTTGAAGGGAGGAAACTTTTCATGAATGAAGTTGTTTTGGCTTGTGGAATATGAAATGTAAGATTGTCCTGATTCCTTAAGGGATAAGAATTATCTGGAAGAATGCATTGTTGTAATAAATCTTGCAAATACTGGGGTGCTAATCCATACACTATTTTATAAAATAACACTAGTTTATGTATTTTTCTTCTTATTTCAAGAGTATCCCAACCAAGCTCTTCATAAAGCTTTGATCTTGATGAATTGATTCTTAAACCGGTTATTATTCGTGCAGCTGCAACTTGAACATCTTCAAGTAATTTTGCATCTCTTTCTGTACAATTATCCCATACAATATCTGAATATTCAAGAACAGGACGAATAAAAGCAAAATATATTTTTATCAAAGCATCCCTCTTAAGTGTGTGTTTTAACATTCTTAAGATATTTAAGCGATTACATGCTTTAGCATGAATATCAAGTATGTGGGATCTCCAATTACCATCTTGTTGAAATCTTATTCCTAAATGAGTATGTGTTTCAACATTTTTAATAGTGGGCCCATCTTCACCAAACTTAATTTTTGGATGGCAAATATTTTTTCTGCTAAAATCTAGATTGACTGTTTTACAAGGATTGAATTCTACTGCCCATATATTAGACCACTGTCTTATTTGTCCAAGATCCTTAGTTAATATGTTTGCAGAATTAATAATATCATCATCAACTATGACATAAAGAGAGGTGTCATCTGCAAAAAGCCTTACAGGACATGATAATTTTTCAGATATGTCATTAATATACAATAAGAATAAAAAGGGACCAAGGACTGACCCTTGAGGGACACCTGAATTGGTAGCTCTAGTAGTTGATGAAAAGCCATCAAGAACTACTTTTTGAGTTCTATCAGACAAGTAATTCTCAATCCAATTAACAATTTGTTCTGATATACCATAATATTTTAGTTTATAAAGGATACCTTTATGCCATACTCTATCAAATGCTTTTGAAATGTCACAAAAGACAAATCTAATATCTTTACCTTTATCAAGACTAGATATTATTGTGTGATATATTTCTAATAACTGATTAGTTGTGGAATCACCTGGTTGAAATCCAGATTGATATTTATTAATTAAATTATTTTCAAGACAATAATTATACAAGTGCTTGAATATGATTTTTTCTAAGGTTTTACATACAACTGAGGTTATTGATATTGGCCGATAATTATTAACATCTTGTGCACTTCCTTTATTCTTATAGATGGGAGTAATTTGTGAATTTTTCCAAATGTCTGGAAGTTGCCCAGTAGTAAGTGAATAATTGTATAGTTTGGTAAGGGGTTTTACTATCGAGTTAGTTATATTTTTAAGAATCAAAGGTGACATACAGTCAGGACCTGGAGGTTTAGTAACATTTATAACTTGGAGCTGATCCAATACTTCCTGCTCTGTGATAACAAAATCATCAAGTGAAAAGTTCAATGGTGGTCCCGGTCCATGTAATGGTACCTCAGGTTCATTGTAAAGGGTTGAAACTCCAGCAAAATATTCATTGAGTAAGTTAGCTTTTTCAATAGGATGAAAGTATGTATAATTTGAGGACTTTAAAGGTGGTGGTGGTTTGCTTTTATTATTTTGTTTGGATAAAGATTTAACTATTCTCCACCATTTTCCAGGGGGTATAGATTTATCTATTTGGTCTGAAAGTTTTTGGTTGAGTCTATCTCGTGAAGCTCTAATTTCATCAATTACTTTGTTTCTTAAAATGCGGTAGTGTTCCCAGTGTTGAGGGAAACGTGGTAAACAGAAGGAAAAGGGAATATCTTAAATTAAAGTTAAGAAAACAAAAATCAAATTCGGAATTATGGTCCTTAAGGTTGAAAAAGCCAAGATTTATTTGGAATAACCAACTTTAAAATTGGAAAAGTCAAGATTAAACAACTTTAAAGTTGGAATCACCAAATTTAAAGTTAAAAAAGTCGAGATTTGAAAAAGCAAAATTAAAGTTAGAATTTCAAAGTTAAAAAAAGTATAAAGAAATAATGTATGTAGAGGTATAATGATAACTGACTAATAAACGGCAATGTTTGTTTTTTGTTTTTTTTTTTTTTTTTAAGAAATAAAAGAGATCATATTGTAAAGTATGTCAGTATCCTAACCCCTTTTCATATGATCTCATTTACTTAAAATTTTACATGCATTCAAACACTCTTGTTGTGTAAATGTAATTCACATGCACTCTCAAACTGAATACATTGTTAAGGTCTACATCAGTACATATATGTATTAGAAATGTACCTTTATAATCAATATTAAGTTCAATGTTAATTTTTAAAAATAGTTTGTTAGGTTTCTAGTTGTTCTCATGTTATGTTAATTTTGAACAATACTTTGTTAGCTTTCTAGTTGTTCTCCAACTCTTGCACCGAGAAGAACATTCAATGTCCTTAAATAAATGTAGATCAACCCTACTGAAGATATTGCTATCTAAATTCAAAACATGTTGCGTATATTAAAAATTTATGGGGTGGAACCGTTTTATGAATAAAAATTGCAGAAAACAGGATGTATTCCTATAGTCTGTTTCATATATATGTAGTCATGTGTACATGGCATTCGTTCCGTTCTTTTTGACTAGTGTATTGTCAGGGCCACTTGAACGTCAAGGGGGAGGGGGGGGGGCTTTTTACTTACACAGTATTTTGCCGTAGTAAATATTTCTTTTTAGATGTTAGCTGGCCCCTAGATTTTTATTGCTGTTAGGTCGAGCACTGGCAAGTTCCAGGATTTTGACAATAAATGGAAGTTTTTATGTTTTGTTGTTTGTTAGATTATTAGGGGTGGTGCCCCGACTTTTTGGTCAGTTTCGTTTTTGTTTTTAATTTGTACTTTTTATATTTGATCCCCCTCCGCCCAATAATAAAATAATAATAAACTAATAAAACCGTTGCTACGGACTTGATATTTGCCGTAAACTATCACAAATGCGTCGATTTACAACATTTTTCATCTTCTTTTATTTTCATAAAGCATAAAAACACATTTTTCATTGTACATAACTACATATATTTGAAAGAAACAGACAGTAGCAATAAATATCCTGGTTTTTTTTTTTTCATTTTCGTTTAATTTTTTTAAAAGCACACCAAGCTCAAAAGCTTGGCATCAAACATACAGAGAGCAGAAGGCCCGTTTCAAAATAATGATATTGCTTTCACAATAAACATTGTCTTATCAAGTTAACTGACTTTTTAGTTCGTCTCCATATATTTCATTGGTAAATTTTCACTTAATTTCGCGGAGTGGGGGTGGGTGGGGGGTTAAACTTTTTAATTTTTCCAGAAGCGTGTGGTTCGGTGAATTTCTGAAATTCTCTAAAATTATAATATATATATACATATATAGGAGAAATCGGACAGAAGTATTATGTGTTGTTTGGAAATAAAAGATGTGTTTGGTTCCTTATCTCAGTGGAAGATTTGCCTCTATTTGAAATCCCCAATTATTTTTTAAATGCTCGATACATCGTTAAACATTTTCACCCTCCTTTTATGTACATCATGTACATATTTTTTTTCATTTTGTGGAAGAGTGCTTTTCAATGGGTGTAATGATAATTATTGGAAAGTACAAGTATTTTAAAAACGCATATCTTTCTTTTTAATCAATTATTCAATCTTTACAATTTGACATGGTCAGTTATTCCCTCTCATATATCTTCAATAATTCAGGTATTTATATTTCTTTATTGTACTTCTAATGTAAGATAGTTTTCATAATATAGACAATTCAAAAAAAATATCTTATAAGTTAAAAGTATTTTGAAACTTTCAGCATTAGAATTATGCATTTAAAACTGTTTTTACATAATTCTGTAATACTGTTTACTAAAAATGTGGACTTTTTTTAAAGCCTATATAATACCCCCGAAATACATCTAGTTTATTCATGTCTCCCATCTTTAAAAAAAATGGGAACGTATACATTTTTTGCAATAATAAGTTAATTAAAACTATATTAAATGAAAATAAATGCAAATTTGGGACTTTGTACCAATTAAATTGTCAGGGTGGAAATAACTTAATTTCTATTTCTCTTCAGCCCATTAGTAAACTTTTATTATAACGATTTATTAAAACGCAATTTAAAGAATCTGTTGTATAAAAAAAATATATACTCTTTTACTGCAACGGTTCATTCATAAGTTAATAACTCGTTATTATGAATAAACGTCTTCTCAACTCTAGCGAGTTCGAGATGAAAAGGTTTGACTGTACTGTAAGAGGGGTAACGCATTTAATGAAAGTTTCATTTTCCATAATGTCAACTTATAAATTTTTTTTTTCAGATACAACCATCTAAGTATTTTAAAACTCTATTAGCTATTATTATTGCAAATCAAATTAATTACTATAAGTATGTAAATTTGTTTCTATTGGCCATAGACATAAGTCTATGTATTTGCCTTATTTTATCTCTCCGTATATTAGACAACCCGATTTTTTTGTTTCACTTTCACTTTCACTTTACAGAACACGATGTTGAATAACAAATGTCATCTTGGATATAAACTATTTATATTATCCGTTAGAAGATCATGTTTCAAAAGTCATTTTCAAAGGTATAGTATTATTTTCAGTCAAGGAGTCTTAGAAACTCGAGAAAGACATGAAATTAGATATAATTTGTTGACAAATGATAAATGTAATCAACAGGAGTCGGCAGTTTTATCAATAAACTAAAAATAAAGTCAAAATCAGTAAAAAAATTAGCCATGAGCTTCGCTGACGAAGCCGCTTCGCTAAGCTCATGGCTAAGTTTTCACTGATTTTGACTTTATTTTAGTTTATTGATAAAAATGCCGATTCCTTGATGTAATGTGGTCCAAACACAGTCTCCTTATTAAGCTATTCAAAATAGCTTGATAAATCTATTTATATGCAGTTTTTCACAAAAACGTTATTTTTTTTATTTTTTTTTTTTTTTTTTTTTTTTTGTAAAATTATAAACAAAAATAGACAAAGACATTGAGCAACCATGATCGAGTTAAAGAAGCAAATTCAAAGAAATGTGGTCCCCCACTTTAGGCATCCATGTGGGTGAGATGTCATTATTTATGGCATATTGTGTCAAATGGGAATGCCCTATCATCACAATCAGGTCAAACATGGAGGTCATGGTAAAGGTGTCAGAAATCATAGCATGCTCAGAAATATCTTGTCACAGGTAATACACATGTCAAAAAATATGAAAGCCCTATATCTCTTCTCTTTCAAAAGTTGTAAGGAAAAATATACCATTTTTGAAAAGCAGGTCAGATGTAGAGGTCAAGGTCAAGGTCATGGGGGTCAAATGTCATAGTGTTTTTAGAAAGGTCTTGTCACAGGTAATGTACATTAAAAGGTGAAAGCCTAAAAATCATCTAAATCTTCTCATCCAAAAGTTATGGCGAAGATTAAACTTTATGAAAAGTACCGTGGTAGGTCAAACCTCCAGGTTAAGGTCACAGGGTCAAAATCATAGAGTATTTAGAAAGGTCTTGTCACAAGTAACACAGATATTTAGTATGAAAGCCCTATCTCTTCTCATCAAAAGTTTGGGCCAATTTAAAGTCGTTAAAATTTTATAAAAGTAGGTCAAACTTCAAGGTCAAGATTACAGAGTCAAAAATCATAGTGCATTTAGAGAGGTCTTGTCACAGGAGATACACATATGTAATATGAAAGTCCAAGATGTATTCCTTTTGATAAGACCTTTCTCTGGATACCAACAATTATGACCTTGGATTTTGACTTGCATTTAAAAAACTTCACCATAAGCTGCTATACAGGGCATCAGTGTTTCACAAAAATACCTTGTTTCTGATTGAAAATGTTTTTGTGCATTTTATCTGTCTATTTGAATGTAAATAGTTAATACATAAATTATGATGTTTCAGTTTATCTTAAGAAAGATATACTTATATAATGTCCTATTGTTTTTTGCCCCCATAAACGAAGTTTCCAGGGTATATAGCTTTTGCCCTGTCATTCTGTCTGTCTGTCTACTGTTTGTTAGCAAAAACTTTAATCTTGTCCATAACTTTTGAGTGGGTGGGGCTATGGCTTTCATATTTCACAGGTGTGTTCCTTGTGATATGACCTTTCATTGGGTACCATCAAGTTTGACCTCTTCACCTTGACCTTAAAGATAAGATAAGATAAGCTTTATTTAAAGTCAGTATGGTAGTTAAAAAGTAACACAAGCTCTAATGAGCTTTTGACTGACATGTTTAACATATACATAACAGTAAAACAATGAAAACATGCAGCACTATATAAACATAGAATTACTTGCAACAATACAGCACACAGTCTAATTTAAAGGACATCATCAGTTAAAGATACATATAAAAACACACATGTACAGACACATAAACAATACAGCACAGATGCATAGAGAAAGCAACAGGTATACATACATAAGTCACATTACAAACATGCGAACAGTACATAGACAGAAACATAAAAGGAACATAACAGGAAAAAAAAAGAAAAGAAAAACTGACACACATGCACAGACACACAAACAAAAAGGACACAACTTACCTAGTGGAGCAGGCTGTACACTCACAGTCCTTACCGCTCCAAGAGGCAATCATAGATTTAAACTGTAAAAAATTGGTTTGACATTTAAAATGGTCAGGTAAGGAGTTCCATAAAACTGGTGCTGCATATCTAAAAGACATTTTGCCATATGATGTAGTTCTCACTTTTGGTATTTCTAAAATGTTTGAATATCTAAATTTGTATGTCGCTTTCTTAAAACTCACTAAGTCTGACAGACATCTAGGAGAAAGGTCATGTAAAATCGTAAAACATTCCAGAGCCATGCTACGCATCCTTCTAATCTCTAATGATGGTAATTTTGCCTTAAGTAATAATGACTCATAGCTACTCTCCAAATCTTCATAAATAAAACGTAAAGCTCTTTCTTGAATTTTCTCAATTTTCTTGGTATTTTTCTTGGAGCAGAAGTGCCATACAAGAGGACAGAAATTAAAATTTGACAAAATAAAACTACAAAATATTGTAATTTTGTTTGCCCGAGTTAACACTGGAGCAAACCTTGGAGTTAAATCTTTTTTTACCAAAAAAATACCAAACTTTAACCTTGGGCATAACTTTTGAACAGTTGGAGCTAGGGCTTTCATACTTCACCGGTGTATTCATTGTGACAAGTGGGTATAAATATTTTTTACCTTTTGACATTGACCGTAGAGTTTGACCCACTTTTTAGAAACTTTTACCTTGGTCATAACTTTTGAACAGTCAGAGGTAGGGCTTTGCTATTTCACAGGTGTATTTTTGTAACAAGACCTTACTTTGGTTACCAACACTTTTGTCCTTTTGACCTTGACCTTTAGAGTTGGACATGCAATTGAGAAAATGTCCTGTCTGTCTGTTTGTGTGTCTGTTGTCAACTTTAACCTCTCCCATAGATATTGCACTGTCAAGAATAAGTGTATACCACTTCAGTTTACGTCCCATTCCAGAATTGTGTTACCAGCGGGGGCATAGTGTTTCAAAAACACATCTTGTTTTAACTTTATATTTCAGATTATTCAGTCACCCCTTCTCTTCATCCTCCCAACGTACCCCGAAGGATAAAACAAATACGATGGAAAAATTAGTACAAAAGTACCGTAAAGAAAAAAGCAAAAGAATCCTATTCCAATCCTTCAGTGGAAGTTTTTTAGTGTTAATGATTTACATGTATTTTAAGGAAGATAATGACCTTGATATTCAAGCAAATATTGATGCATTAAAATTACAAGAAAAGAGATGCAGTGATGCACTTGAAGGCAAAATACCACTAGGAACGGACATCACACGGGAAATGGCTGAAGAAGACCTACAGAGAATACGACATGAGCTTAAACAAGAAACACAGAAACTGGAAGGACTCTAGACATTGTGTACAATCAAGTGCCAAGCTACCAACTCTGCAATACTATCAATTAAAATACTGACTTGTAATTTATGAATGAATGAACTGCACAGTGACATAAATTTTAAAGTTTTTAGCTCACCTGAGCCGAAGGCTCAAGTGAGCTTTTCTGATCACATTTTGTCCGTCGTCCGTCCGTCCGTCTGTCTGTCCGTCCGTCTGTCCGTCTGTCTGTCCGTCTGTAAACTTTTCACATTTTCGACTTCTTCTCAAGAACCACTGGGCCAATTTTAACCAAACTTATTACAAAGCATGTTTGGGTGAAGGGGAATTTAAATTGTTAAAATGAAGGGACATATCCCCTCGCAAGGGGAGATAATCAAGAAAAGACAAAAATAGGGTTGGGTCATTAAAAAATCTTCTTCTCAAGAACCACTGGGCCAGAAAAGCTGAAACTTATGTGGAAGCATCCTGGTATAGTGTAGATTCTAAATTGTTCACATCATGACCCCCGGGGGAAGGGCGGGGCCACAATGGGGAACCAAAGTTTTATATAGAAATATATAGGAAAAATCTTTGAAAATCTTCTTCTCAAGAACCACTGGGCCAGAAAAGCTGAAACTTATGTGGAAGCATCCTGGTATAGTGTAGATTCTAAATTGTTCAAATCATGACCCCCAGGGGAAGGGCGGGGCCACAATAGGGCATCAAAGTTTTACATAGAAATATATAGGAAAAATCTTTGAAAATCTTCTTCTCAAGAACCACTGGGCCAGAAAAGCTGAAACTTATGTGGAGGCATCCTGGTATAATGTAGATTCTAAATTGTTCAAATCATGACCCCCGGGGGAAGGGCGGGGCCACAATGGGGAACCAAAGTTTTATATAGAAATATATAGGAAAAATCTTTGAAAATCTTCTTCTCAAGAACCACTGGGCCAGAAAAGCTGAAACTTATGTGGAAGCATCCTGGTATAGTGTAGATTCTAAATTGTTCAAATCATGACCCCCGGGAGAAGGGCGGGGCCACAATAGGGCATCAAAGTTTTACATAGAAATATATAGGAAAAATCTTTGAAAATCTTCTTCTCAAGAACCGCTGGGTCAGAAAAGCTGAAACTTATGTGGAAGCATCCTGGTATAATGTAGATTCTAAATTGTTCAAATCATGACCCCCGGGGGAAGGGCGGGGCCACAATGGGGAATCAAAGTTTAATATAGAAATATATAGGAAAAATCTTTGAAAATCTTCTTCTCAGGAACCACTGGGCCAGAAAAGCTGAAACTTATGTGGAGGCATCCTGGTATAATGTAGATTCTAAATTGTTCAAATCTTGACCCCCGGGGGAAGGGCGGGGCCACAATGGGGAACCAAAGTTTTATATAGAAATATATAGGAAAAATCTTTGAAAATCTTCTTCTCAAGAACCACTGGGCCAGAAAAGCTGAAACTTATGTGGAAGCATCCTGGTATAGTGTAGATTCTAAATTGTTCAAATCATGACCCCCGGGAGAAGGGCGGGGCCACAATAGGGCATCAAAGTTTTACATAGAAATATATAGGAAAAATCTTTGAAAATCTTCTTCTCAAGAACCGCTGGGTCAGAAAAGCTGAAACTTATGTGGAAGCATCCTGGTATAATGTAGATTCTAAATTGTTCAAATCATGACCCCCGGGGGAAGGGCGGGGCCACAATGGGGAATCAAATTTTAATATAGAAATATATAGGAAAAATCTTTGAAAATCTTCTTCTCAAGAACCACTGGGCCAGAAAAAGTGAAGCTTATGTGGAAGCATCCTGGGGTAGTGTCAATTCTAAATTGTAGGAATCATGACCCCCGGGGGAAGGGCAGGGCCATTATAGGGAATCAAAGTTTTACATAGAAATATATAGGAAAAATCTCTGAAAATCTTCTCAAGAACCACTGGGCCAAAAAAGCTGAAACATATGTGCCAATGGAAGGATCATGGGGTAGTGTAGATTTCAAAATGTCTAAATTATGATCAGTGGGGTAGGGTGGGGATGCATTATGTATAACAAGGGTAAAATCTGGTAAAGAACAATGGTCAAAGCTTCTCAGGTGAGCGATGTGGCCCATGGGCCTCTCGTTTGATGAATCTAACTTATTTTAAGAACTGTAAAACTGTCAATTTGGGACAAGTATAAAGAATTCCAAACATTATCTTCATCCAGCAATCTATGATGAGATGAGCTCTACTGAGAAAAGAAGCACTTAGGCTTGAAACTATGACAATAGCAATTCAGAATGATTCATTTATTGTAATTTATTTCAATTCTTAAGATAAGTTTAATTGCAACAATCAGACAAGAAGTGTAGGAGTAGCATTAGGAAAGAATGTCACAGAAATTTCATGACAACACCATTTGTCAAAATCAAAAACTGACTCTAAAAAAATTATAGTCTTCTTGTCTACTCCTTTTTTAGCTCACCCGAGCCAAAGGCCGTTTGAGCTCCTCTAATCAAAATTTGTCTGTTGTCTGTCTTCGGCGTCATAAACTTTTAACATTTTCATCTTCTCTAGAACCACTAGCCAGGCCAATTTCTACCAAACTTGGCACAGAGTATCTTTGGGTAAAGTGGATTCAAGTTTTTTTAGGTCACCTGAGTAAACTCAGGTGACCTATTGCTATCTGTTTTCGTCCGTCGTCGTTCGTCGTACGTCGTACGTCGTTCGTAAACTTTTGAACATTTTCAGCTTCTTCTCTGCAACCACTGAACCAATTTCAACCAAATTTGGCACAAAGCATCTATGGGTGAAAGGGAACAAAAATTGTGAATTTCATGATCCCTGCCCCCCTGGGGCCTGAGGGGTGGGGCCAAAACCACTAAAATTAATGCAATCTTTGAAAATCTTCTTCTTTACTCCTGGACATCAAGCAGTCAAACTGTTTGCATGATTGTAATCAGCATTGAGTCCTCTACCAAAATTGTGAAATTCATGGCCCTGGGGTCAGGGGTTCTAGTGCTAGGGCAGGGCTAAATAAGTAGGTAGTGATAATGCATTATTTCTTTGAAAATCTTCTTCTCTGCTCCTGGGTATTAAATAAACCAACTAAGTAGTTAGTTATGATGAGCAAGAGTGCTTCTACCAAAATTGTGAATTTTATGGTCCCAGGGTCAGGGGTTCTGGTGTTAGGGCGGGGCTCTCTTGATTATATACATTGAAAATACATGATTTCTTTGAAAATCTTCTTCTCTGCCCCTGGGTATTAAATAAACTAACTAAGTGCATAGTTATGATGAGCAAGAGTGCCTTTATCAAAATTGTGAATTTTATGGCCCCAGGGTCAGGGGTTTTGGTAGGGGGGGGGCTTTATAGATTATATAGTAAAAATACATGAATTCTTTGAAAATCTTCTTCTCTGCTCCTAGATATTAAATAAATTAACTAAGTGCATAGTTATGATGAGCATGAGTGCCTCTATCAAAATTGTGAATTTTATGGCCCCAGGGTCAAGGGTTCTGGTAGGGGGGGGGGGGGGGGCTCTATAGATTATATAGTAAAAATACATGAATTCTTTGAAAATCTTCTTCTCTGCTCCTAGATATAAATAAATTAACTAAGTGCATAGTTATGATGAGCATGAGTGCCTCTACCAAAATTGTGAATTTTATGGCCCCAGGGCCAAGAGTTCTGGTGTTAGGGGGGGGGGGGGCTCTATTGATTATATAGTGAAAATACACAAATTCTTTGAAAATATCCTTCTATGCTCCTAGGTATTAAATAAACTAACTAAGTGCATGGTTAAGATAAGCAAGAGTGCTTTTACCAAAATTGTGAATTTTTATGGCCCCAGGGTCAAGAGTTCTGGTGTTGGGGGGGGGGGGGCTGTATTGATTATATAGTGAAAATACACATATTCTTTGAAAATCTCCTTCTATGCTCCTAGGTATTAAATAAACTAACTAAGTGCATAGTTATGATGAGCAAGAGTGCCTCTACCAAAATTGTGAATAATTTTATGGTCCCTGGGTCAAGGCTTCTGGTGTTGGGGGGGGGGGGGGGGGGGCTCTATAGATTATATTGTAAAAATACATGAATTCTTTGAAAATCTTCTTCTCTGCTCCTAGGTATTAAATAAACTAACGAAGTGCATAGTTAAGATGAGCAAGAGTGCTTTTACCAAAATTGTGAATTTTATGGTCCCAGGGTCAGGGGTTCTGGTGTTAGGGTGGGGCTCTATTGATTATATAGTAAAAATACATAAATTCTTTGAAATCTTCTTCTCTGCTCCTAGGTATTAAATAAACTAACTAAGTACATAGTTATGATGAGCAAGAGTGCCTCTACCAAAATGTGAATTTTATGGTCCCAGGGTCAGGGGTTATGGTGTGTGGGGGTGGGGGGGGGGGGGGGGGCTCTATTGATTATATAGTGAATATACATTAAATCTTTGAAAATTTTCTTCTCTGTCTCTGGGTATGAAGCAGATGAACTACCTAAATAGTTATGATGAGCAAGGGCCCTAATCTTGCAAAATTTTGAATTTCAAGGCCCCAGGGTCAGGGGTGGATGTGGGGCTCTACTTATATACTGAAAATGAATTAATTGTTTGAAATGTGCTCCTTTGTATTTATAAAACATTTATTTATTTTTTGATAGGCAATTTTAACGGTGCCTTTTTAAAATTTGTGCAATGTGTGGACCTAGGGTCAGGGGTTTATTTCACAGTGTTAGGGGCATTACTGATTATTGCTGAATATTACTGATTAGTTGGAATGCATTTTTTTTCCCCTACCTTGCGTATGGGTATTCAGTACCCCTGCGAGGTGATCATGAATAATTCATGAATTACCTTGAATTTTTCATGAATTTTATTCATGAAATGTTCATGAAACATTCATGAAGATCCTATGAACTTATTATTGGGCATATTTAAATCAATAAACCAAGCTAAGCAACTGCTAAGTGTATTGTTATGATGATCAATGGTGCCTCTTTCAAAATTGTGAATGCCATATAGCATCTGGCTTAAAACATGAATCAAATTCAATAACTGAAAAGTTGTTGCAGAATGCTCAGGTGACCTATAAGGCCCGTGGGCCTCTTGTTTAAATGAAGGGCCACACCCTCTTCCAAGGGGAGATAAGTAAGAAATAGTTAAAACTTGGTGGGTGTACCTAAAAATTATGACCCCCTGGATTAGAGGCCACAATAGGGGATAAATTTTTTACAGGTTGGTGTAACTAAAAATCATGACCCCCTGGGGGAGGGGCCACAATAGGGGATCAATTTTTACAAAGTAATATGTAGGAGAAAATCTTCTTTCCAAGAACAGCAAAGTTATATGCTATATTGATGTGGAAGCACCCTCGAATAGTATAAAATTCAATTCCCCCTCTTTATTAATAAGTAAACTTGTCAATACTGAACTGATTTACAAGTGCCTTTTCCTAGCCCATGTGCTCAGGTAGGCCATGTGGCCCATGGACCTCTTGTTTTTCAATCAAACAAAAAAAAAATGAACAAGCAGCTTCTCGAAAGAATTATTTACTTAATATGGCAATTATCAAAATAAATCAAGAGGCCCATGGGCCACATTGCTCATCTGAGCATACTAGCTATGAAAAAGCAGTGCCAGTGGTCCCTGAGTCAACACATTGCTGTTGGACCACTGGCAAATTTCATTCAATATTTTATGAGCTGACTGAGCAATGTGTTTCAGAAAAAATACAAATCTTGATTATTTTTTATCTCTCACCTAATCACATTTAACCATTCTATGATAAACAAGTTGTAATACATGCAGTTGAGATGTCAGCTGAATCCTTACCTATTTACGAAAGTTTCAATTTGATTGGTGAGAGAGCAGCAAGCCCTAGAATATTGAATGAAATTTGCCAGGGGGTCCAACAGCAACATGTTGACTCAGAATGAGGATATACTATGTGCTTTGGTTTTTTTTCTTTTATTCCAAGAAGCAGGTATATTATTATACCCCCACAAACAAAGTTTTTTTTTTTGGGGGGGGGTATATAGGAATCAGCCTGTCTGTCCATCTGTGCAAACGTGTCCGATCTATATCTTTCTTATGGAGGAATGTTAGAATCTACTACTTCACACAAAGATTGCTCATGACCTAAGGGTGTGTCATGACCTTGACCCAATGTCAATTGGGGAAGTTTAAGGTCACTGGAAGAAAAAGTTCATAATTCATGTTTAGTACATATCTTTCTTATGGGAAAACCTTGTAAGTTCCTGTTTTACACAAAGATTGCTTATGTCTTGAGGGTGTGTCATGACCTTGACCCAAGGTCATTTGTGCAAATTTAAGGTCACTGAAAGAAAAAAGTTCATAATTTGTGCCATATCTTTCTTATGGATAAACTTGGAGGGTTCCTCAATTACACAAAGATTGCTTATCATGAGGGTTTGTCATGACTTTGACCCAAGGTCATTTGTGCAAGTTCAAAGACACAGACAGAAAAAAAATCATAATTCGTGTCTGTTCCATATCTGTCTTATGGATAAAAATGGTGAGTTCCCATTTTACACAGATTGCTTATCACCTGGGGTTGTGATATGACTTTGAACCAATGTCATTAATGCAAGTTCAAGGTCACTGACAGAAAAAGTTCATAATTTGTGTCTGGTCTGTATCTTTAGTCTTTATTTTTAAATTAGGCTGCACCTTCGTTTCATTTATAAAAAAAAAATATAATGAGCAATTACATTTGCACTAAAAATGTTTAGCATTTCTCTCTTCTCTTAGATCCATAAAATAATATGATTTGGCACCTCTGAAAAACCCAGCATGGGGTATTTTGTCCCTTTGGACAGTTCTAGTTTTCACAGAAATAATGCATTTTCACTAAATAGTGATTTTAAGTGTTAACTGCTTTAAATCTTTGCTATTTCGACTCTTTGGACCTAAAACACAGTCACAAAGTTTTACCCCCAACACATCATCCACCGCTTTCTATACCCCTGCTTGAAAAGTGGGAGGGTATATAGTAATCATGATGTCTGTCTGTTCGTCTGTTACACTTTGGGGTACCCATCTCTTATCTGCAACTCCTCTCATACCACTACATGAAATTTGATGATACTTTCACAGAATCTTTATTACATATTGCCATTGTGCATTTCCTATTTTACTTTTTGATCCGACACATATTTGGGGTTTTCCACAGCAAAACATGGACATGGCCATTATATTCATATGGGAGGTGGGTGTATCATTTAGTGAGCTCATTGCTCACAGTACCTCTAGTTAAATCAGCATAAAAGTTACAAAAGGATAGCCATTTTCATTCCAATGTAATCTAAGCAATTTGTTAATGAGCTAAAATCCTATTCTGCAGACTTCTTACTGTAGATCACGAAATTTTCGCGACACCTTATTTTCGAGAGATTGTCATAGACTCTTTGTAAGCGAGACATAATTTTCACGAATAGTTGTTATTCCTCTATATAATCGCATGGAATACTATTATACGCGAGAATGAAATTTTCGCGACCGCATTGTCTCGCATAATTATGCGGAAATAAAGTTCTTGCAAATAAAAAGTGATTTACAGTATACAATATAATTTTATATATTCAATGAAATATTCTTGCATTACTCCATTAAAAATAAAGTGCCCCGCCACAGCATGATACGCCCGTCAAATATTGTTCAATAATCATAAATTGGTTGGGATGCAAGAAAATCAGGTAGCCTTGATTCACAGATTGACACAGATTTCAATGATTTAATTTCCATTTCTTATCATACATCTCTAAGAGATGCAGTGTGGGGATTGATTATAACAAATACATCATATAACTCTAAACTGGTTGTGTTAGAGCATAACAAATATCCATCTGCAGCTTACTTAAATTGTTTATTGCATATTTTATGAAATAATAGAAATGCTACAGTTTAATAAAAAAAAAATCAAACATAAATTATAATTCCTTCAGACTATAAAATTCTAAGTGAGACATGACTGCAATATGTTGCAAATATATAAAATTGAAATTTTTTTTTTTCAATGAACACATGTATAATTAGTTTTAATTATAGTATACAATACTAATTTAGTTTTAATCATACACTAAAACATAAATTTGTTTTAATTACATTACACCAATTGGAAGATCTTTATCTGGACTAGCCATCAAGAACTCTTAATTAACACAAGCATCTATGAGGCCATTTCTTTTTGCCCAACTCTCAAGAGATAAATTAAGATAACAGCTGCATCAGATAAGAGAGGCTCTTAGCTCCTGACAATAAACTCATTAATTTCTCTCTAATTTGACATGCAAGTTTCTGCTATCAAAATTCTTCTTGACCAGTGCTTGATAATTATGCCCATGGGACAAACAGAATTCCTCTCAAAGCATAAACATTTGTTACAGATTGCTGTAAAGTATATAATGAAAAAATAAGTTTTTACTTAATTTAACATTTTTTAATAAGGATACAACTATATTTTTACATTTTTTAGGATTATGAAATTTAAAATTTAAAAGACTTAGTTTTTTTTTAAAAATTCACTTAAATTAAAGGTCACAGTGACCTTAAAATAGGCCGCGACACACCTTCTACTTTAGCTGTACACTTTTGCCAAGTTTGAAAGCTCTAGGTCTCATAGTTTTCTAGTTATGAGCCGGACAGGATTTTTCCATATTTGGCTATAGCATCTTTATTAAAGGTCAGAGTGACCTACTTTTTGTGCGAGACACACCTTCTACCCAAGATGTATCAGCTGACAAAGTTTGGTAACTCTAGGCCTTATAGTATTAAAGTTATGAGCCGGACACGAGAAAAGCTAACAGACGGACAGACGGACGGACACGAAGCTTATAACATAATACGTCCCGTCTTAAGACGGGCGTATAAAAACCTTCCTTCTTGATAAAACCTATTTAATTGCCTCAAAAATCTGTACAATAAAAATGTGTATAACAAAACAGTTGTATTGGATTTAATATGCTGGGACAGAGTTCTATTTCCAATGTCATAGTGGCTCCCAAATAAATACATAGGTACATGTATTTACTGCAGTACATGTATATTCAAATGTTTTACTATGGGAAAAAAAATCAACACAATATTTCAATTCTGATAAAATTTTATTTTTACTTAATCTACAATTTGTTAAACAAAATTCATTTTCTTCTGGGGAAAAAGAGGAAATTTCCTCAACAATCTATTCTGCATTTTTTTAATAAAGAGTAAGCAGTAGAAAAATACATCATCCAGAATGAAGAAAAACCATTATGTAATACCATAACAAATGAATTAATTCTTCTCTGAGAAAATTTTAAATATACAAGCTTGTATAAACTAAATGTAATTTTAATTTGTGTTAATCTCCAAAACATTGGTACAAACCATCAAAAGTGCTACACAATAGACTTACAGAATACTGGGACAATCTCAAAAATAGTCAAGTGGGAAAGCCATCCCACAATTCTCTAATACAAGATACACTTTTTCTCTTTTCCTCAATAAATATATAGCCTACCCCAGTCTCCTGCAAAACCTGGTGTTTAAACATATTAAATATTATTTTGTGCAAACCATATTTTGTTCTATATAAACACGAGAAAACATCTTATTTCAGTCGATGACATTTTCAAAGTTGAAAATGATAATATGTTGGAAAAAAAGAATATGTGGATCCAAGCATAAAGTGAATTTATTTTCCTAATTGAAATACTACCTTATCTTGTTTTTTTTTTTTTGCATAGCATTGAAGGCTAGTCGATGATTTGTGAGTGAAAAACTGTGATAAGGCTTACAGTTCAAAATTCTTAAATATGACTAATGAGAACTATGTTTTATAAACTATCAAATGTACACCCAATGCCCTTACTCCTTCTTCTAAGTGTATGAGCCAGCATGCACAAGATCAAGAAGCAAGGACATACAATTTCAAAAAAAATTCCTTAATTAGCTTTTCTTCCTATTTCTTTCAGGCAAGGATGGCACTTACATCAACCCCCAAGACATCAGACATCTCTCAGTCTATTTTTTACGACTGGATTCAATTCTTTTCATTCTATTATCAACATTGAGTAACACAACCACTTTTAAAATCCTATCAGCTATCCAGTAGCTTGAAGTTTTCTTAACCAAAATCTTTTTTTGTTTTAAAACAAACCATACAACAAATTTCTAAACAGGGGAAAAAAATGAAAATGAAGACAATTTCAAGTAACATGAAAAAATCTATGTATAGTAATGGTGAAATCAATTGACAGCTCTGCCAGTGGAGAGTATAGACTTATTTCATATATCCATTTTTATTTCTTTTAAAAATTATCTTAACATTTTTATGGATCCTCTCTTTGTTCAAACTTCCTTTTGGAACAAAATTTTCCCTCCTCATGTTTTACCTCAGTGATGAAATGTACTGCTTCAAGGCAAAATTCTGTTGCCATGGAATCAGAATGAAGATAATGTAATGTTATAAATTTCCTACATAATAATACACTACTTTTCAACTCCCAATGAAAAAAAATTTACAAAGATGGACTGATTATTTTTTTGGAATGAATAAAAACCTCATTATAGTATCAAGTCATATAGCACTAGTAACTCAAAATAATTGGAAACCAAACATAAACTAAAAAAAATAAAAGAAACAAAGTTCAAGAACAGTATACATTAATTTACATAGACAAATACTCTAAAATATGTAAATGAATGATCATTATTGAATCACAGACTGACAAAACAAATCCCTAGTAAGTATATTTACATGTATTTATAAGGCTCACAGCTTGCACCCATTCTCTAAAATCTCCCTCTCTATTGCATATTGTTAACCAGATATTCATATCATCAAAATTCATTTCAACTCATGTAATAGGTACTAATTTTTTGCTTGTATGTGAGTTTGAGTTCTATATCATTGTAAATGTTGAAATTCCATGTGTCAAAATACACAAAAACATGAAAATTCTAGCAATCTGTACAAAGTATAAATAAGGTACGCACCGATTATTCTGAAACAACCTTACAAAAGAAAAATAAAATACTATCAGTACAAAGCAGACCAAATTTACAGTTTAGGGGAGAAATGTCCAGACTTTAAATTCTTTAAATATAAGTTTGCATCTTAATAATATGAAAACCTGCTTAACAAAGCGTCAATATTAGCACTTGAGTCACTAAAACAATTTGAAGATCCTAGTTATTCCCGCCATTACAAGCGGTAATTGGTCCGTTGGACATGACACAAGGGGCATTCGGTGGATTTTCCAGCGCACGCTTCACACATGACCCTGTGGTTACACGGCACACATGTAATACTACGACTCCTATCCTGACACATAATACATTTCAGGGTCTGCTGGTACATGATCACCTGTAAAAGAAACGGTCAATAAATATCCACTCCCAGGACAGGCATCTAGCCTTTGCGAATTAAATCACAGATAACTCACATGATATAATATCTTCCGTATTTTAAACATTTTTTATTGAAATTATATCTGCTGGTTCATTTCAAATAAACACACTTTTAATATGATTCTGAATGCACAAATCGGTCTTTAATTTCACGTAACACTTTGTTTACAACAGATGGGACCTACCTTGTCTAATTTGTCCATATCCATTCTAAGTTGTTGCTGTATCTGTCTGAGCTGAGGAATAGGTAATTTTTCTATCTCGTTCACCTGATGAAGTAATCTTACACTATTGGATCCACCACCCATTTTATCCAGATCTAGTTGTATCTTTGATATTCTTCCAAGAGCCTGTAAGGAAATTAGAAGTCTTCTGAACAATTCAAGGCAACGACTTCATGTTATAAAATTAATAATAATTCACAAGAGTTGCAAAATAAGTGTAAATTCCTTCTGATGTTGAAAATTAAACAGACAGAGAAGACTCATAGTGAACTATTTTTGTCTGACCACCTCATATTGACCTACCTTGTCTCTGTTTCACTGCCTCTCTTATTGATCTACCTCCTCCCTCCATTTAACTTTCCCCCATTACTGACTTACCTCGCTCCGTTTGCGCCCCCCCCCCCCCCCATTATTGACTTATCTTGCCCCTCTGTTTGTCTCCCCCCCTCTATTGACCTACTTCGTCCATTTGTTTGAGCCCATTATTGACCTACCTGATTTCTCTGTTTCTCTGACTTCCCCCTCTTTTGACCTTCCTCGCCCCACTGTTAGACCCCCCCACTATTGACCTACTTTGTCTCTTTGTTTGACCCCCGATAGACCTACCTCATCTCTTTGTTTGACCGCCTGAGCCTTTTCTTCCTCGGCTGATTTGGCTTTTCTGAGGGATTCCTCAGCCTCTCTCTTCCATGCTTCACAAGCCTGAACACAACAAAAACATCTCATGCAATAAAAAAAAAAACATTTCAATAAAAAGATTTACAGAAATCTGTCCTTCAGATCAGATACCAGTTCAAAACTCCTGCGCACATCAACATTAATATCGGAAATTAGACAGATGCATGCAAATATTCAACTCCCAAATATATACAGAGTGAGAAATTGACAAATACAGTGGTTTTACCTTAAATAATTAACAAAGGTTTTAGCCAATCTTTTAATTTAAGGTCAAAACCAGTGTTAATTGTGATATTATGATTAAAAAATTATGGAACATGATGGACAAAAAAATGTCATCCATAATATGAATATGGGCAAAGAACAAGGCCAAAACAAAAAAAATTTCTGCAAAACATATTTCAGAAAATGTCATTTAAATTTAGCGAGAAAAAAAATTATAGGGCAAATGTGACTGTGTCAGGGGAAACAACTTGTCGTATTCTACACTTACACACTCTCTGTCAAAATTCATGAAAACACAGATAATTTATGCCAAAAAGTCATTACTGAACACATAATTTAAATAAGTTAAATTTACTAACACCTATTATAAGGTAGTAAACAACCAAAAATAAATAAAACATTAAACACTCTAAAATTTTCATATAGATAAGAGAGGTCATAATTTTTTGTTTAAATAAGGTACGACTGGCTTCCTTACGCTTTTCGCCTGAGAATAAGCCTGCTCCCAGTGTTCTTGTCTTGTCTTGTAATGCTGGAATTCCTCACGTAACTTTTGCATATCTGCTCCTTGAGAACTATTGGATAGATTGGATGAGGAATACAGTGGAGAGTGCGGGCCCCCGGGGCCACTTCTAGGAGACATCGAATTTACGTCGCTAAATTTGTTGTGATTGTGGTAACCCAATAAGGAAATATTCTACAAAAAAAAAAAAATTAATGCACTGATGTCATGCCAAGTTTACACATAAAACAATGAGATTATCATTTTATCTGAAATGACACATTTATTTACTGTGTTCTATCCTTCCTCCTATACTCTGACAGCAGCTATCTGGCTCCTTGCCTTATTTATATGAGGTTATTCTACACAAAGCATTTTTTAAAATCATAATTATTTTAAAGCTAAACTCTTCTACTCACTGGTTCACCAGAATCCTGTTTTTGATTTCCTGTCAACAGACCATGAGAAAAGCTACCAAAGGGGGAGGGAGGGGATTGAGAAAGACTCCCAATACTTCCCCTCTGAAGGCCTCCTGGGATACCTATGGGTATGGACTGTGCACCAAAACCTGAAAAACAAAATGTACTAGGATATTATATTTGTATGTGCTTAAAGCTCTCCACCATAGAAGTTAACAAGTAAGCCATCATGTAATTTATTTAGCCCATTTCACACATAGATTGAATTACCTGAAGTTGGTATTCCTGCACTTAAAGAGCTACTAAGGGAGTTAATTTCATCTTTATCTAGTTCTCGGTCTATACTGTTGATATCAATATCATCTAAACATAGGTCATCCAAAGCATGACCTACAATGTACAATACAGTAAATAAAGCTTCTGTTTGAAAACATCAAAACTCATTATATAGCATAAAGGTTAACAAATCATTAAGGTAATCCAACTCAAAATTTCTATGTTTTTTAAAGTCAAAAACCTAATTCATCCAATTTTTACGTAAATTAATTATTTTTTTTCTGGTATCCTTACCTATTACAGATCCTACGGTATCCCCTGGGGGGTAGAAGGCCGGGGCGAGAGGGGACATAGTGGACACATTGGGCTGTTGATTTGCTACAGGGCTGGGGGTCGTACTAGTGGAGAAGGTCAAACTGTGCAGCATCAGCAGATTCTGTTTACGCTTAGCTTTCTCCACCAGATCAATTGTTTGGTCAGAATCTATAGACTGTAACTGTTGACGTAATTTCATCTGAAATAGAAAAGTAAATTACATTAAACCCTTGGCTAAGTCAAGCACCAAATGTAATAAATAATCAAATGAATGAGGAAAATAAGGCAATGATAGTACACAAGAAACAGAGGTAAGAAAATGCATTGAATGAAAAATTCATGTATGACTAGAGCATGTCATGCAGAGTGATGAACAACCTATTTAAAGGTGTCAACTCAATCCTCATAAACTGAACTAAACTAAACTAATAAATTGAAGAGTAGATGTGAACTCAGTCCTATGTAATAAACTGAATAGAAGGTTTGAAATAAATCTTAAGTAAATGAAGTGGATGAAAACTCAATCCAGATGAATTAAATGAATTGTATGTATGAACTTGTTCCTGATAAATTGAAGTGTAGGTGTAAACTCAATCCCGAGTAATAAACTGAAGTGAAGGAGTGAACTTAGTCCTATCAACTGAAATGTAGGTGTGAACTCAATCCTAAGTAATAAACAGAAGTATTAGTATGAACTCATTCGGATATCCTAAGTAATAAACCAAGGTATAGGTGTGAACTCAATCCTGAGGAACATGAGATGACGATGAAGGATGTCATCTAAGTTCCTACTTACACTGACCATTTGCGAGTCTTCTCTCTCTGACCCCGGGGCTCGCTGATAGAATCCTGAGTCTGACGTAATACTACTAGAGGTGCTGCTAGATCGACCTTTTCCTATTGGCTCTGGGAGTGGACTACTGGTCTGTAGGTGTTGATTTGTTGCTATATTGTTACTCTACAAAACAAAGTCTCTGTCACAACACCAGTCTAAATGTACATTATATTTAATTCATTATTAAGACTTTGGAAAGGCATATACAGGTACATTTAATGTTTTATGGGTATTATTCACTATGTCAAGCATTCAGAATGTCCAGCATTTAGAATAATCTTTTTTTCAAATATTGAAGATTTATCACCTCAGTTTGTACATAATGAACTCTGGTAATTAAGCATGTTACATTTTATAATGGTTCTGGAATAGTATAGTACTTACAGTGATAGTAGCATAAGGAATACTGTTGGCTCGTTCTTTTCCTATGGGAACCGGTAATTTAGGTAAACTACTAGAACCATTCTGATTCTAAAAAAAAATTCATTTGTACATTCAATCTCAAATCTATTACTCTTGGGGGAAAAAAAAAACCATTTGAATCTGTTTTCTGATAAAAAGAAATTGCCTAACAAGCAAAATTATTGGAATTGCACAGATTTCTGTGAATCAAAAACCTACTGATTTAGAATGGGGATCACCCGTGTTGAGTGCGTATATCGTTTGAGGGTTCTCAGCTATTGGTAAAACTGTGCTCATAAATGCCGCCAGAGAATTCTCACTTGTTGACAAAACATCTCTCTGGGTAGTTATTTCCTCTGTAATCAAAGAGAGAAACAATTTTGTTACTGAAAAGTAAAAAAATCTAAACACAAGACTGTGTTTCAGCTCTTCTCCAATATAGATTCTTTGTACACTATCTCTATAAAACTGAAATGCAATAAATCTTACGTTCCACGTGAGCAAAGGCACAAAATGGCCCCCTTGGACAATATCCTGTCTGTACCATATCATTACACTTAGTAGACTTGTAAATCTGGTGGGAAAAAATGAATATATGACAAACGTAACATCAAGATACATAGTTTGTTATTGGATTGAACTTTCATTTAAAGAGCTTACTATGAACAAGATTAAACTGCTGAGATTTTTTATGCTAGATACAATAATGGCTTTATGTACACTGCCTTACCTCGGGGTGGAACTGTTGTTCTGTTCTCGTGTGACAGTAAGCACAATTGTCACCATTCTCACACTGTGTCGGATCGCCCCAGTCATCACCATGTTTTACATTAGGACACGGGGTCGACCTAACACATTCACAAAATTTACAATTACTTAAAAAATATCCTGCATTTACTTATTTTGCATACGTGGATAGTTACTTTTAGTGACATTTAGTAGTTGAATGTTTAGTCAAAGTTTGTCAATTTTGATGATATTTATATATCATATACGGCTATCATATACATGTACTGACCAGCTTTGCAAATGTGCTATTATAATTGGGTATACCTTTATATGCTCCATTATTTTAGCATGTTTACTATTACTATGAATCTTAAATTGGCCAAACACACAAAGATAATGCATGTTGTGCAGCATATCAAGAGAAATGCAGTGGATGCTGCATGTGACCTATTGACCTCTTCCCCTGGATTACTGACCATTTGAAGCAAGGAATTCCCAAGAAATACTAAGTACCACACTAATAAAATACATATTTAGATTATGAAAATCACAAAAATTTACAAATTTTATCAATTTTATCCATCCAAAGTTCTAATCAATCATTTACCAATTCCAATAACTGGTTATTCAAGATAACATTTTCAAATCTGAACCTGCATTTGATATAAATACAGAATCTGGATAAATGAAATGTTAAGATTAATTTTATTTCAGAACGGTGAATGTAACCATAAGCAAATTCAAATCTGTCAGAATTTGAATCAGTGTAAATAAACTGGACATGAAGTAAAGAAAAGTGTGGGATTTCAGGAAATTCATCAATATTACAACTCTATAGTGTGAATGTACTTTAATCTTTTAAGTTATTGCAACCTTTATTAATGACAAAATAAATCAAGTAATAAAAACCTTCTGGTCTCTATTTCTACTATTAACTCTAACAAGAGGCCCATGGGCCACATCGCTCACCTGAGAAGCTTTGACCATTCTGTTCTTTACCAGATTTTACCCTTGTTATACATAATGCATCCCCACCCTACCCCACTGATCATAATTTAGACATTTTGAAATCTACACTACCCCATGATCCTTCCATGGGCACATATGTTTCATTTTTTGGCCCAGTGGTTCCAGATAAAGATTTTCAAAGATTTTTCCTATATATTTCTATGTAAAACTTTGATTCTCTATAATGGCCCTGCCCTTCCCCCGGGGGTCATGATTCCTACAATTTAGAATTGACACTACCCCAGGATGCTTCCACATAAGCTTCACTTTTTCTGGCCCAGTGGTTCTTGAATTTTCAAGATTTTTCCTATATATTTCTATATTAAACTTTGATTCCCCATTGTGGCCCCGCCCTTCCCCCTGGGGTCATGATTTGAACAATTTAGAATCTACATTATACCAGGATGCCTCCACATAAGTTTCAGCTTTTCTGGCCCAGTGGTTCTTGAGAAGAAGATTTTCAAAGATTTTTCCTATATATTTCTATGTAAAACTTTGATGCCCATTGTGGCCCCGCCCTTCCCCCGGGGGTCATGATTTGAACAATTTCTACACTATACCAGGAACGTAAGTTTCAGCTTTTCTGGCCCAGTGGTTCTTGAAAGAAGATTTTCAAAGATTTTTCCTATATATTTCTATATAAAACTTTGGTTCCGCATTGTGGCCCCGCCCTTCCCCCGGGGTTTATGATTTGAACAATTTAGAATCAACATTATACCAGGATGCCTCCACATAAGTTTCAGCTTTTCTGGCCCAGTGGTTCTTGAGAAGAAGATTTTCAAAGATTTTTCCTATATATTTCTATGTAAAACTTTGATGCCCTATTGTGGCCCCGCCCTTCCCCCGGGGGTCATGATTCCTACAATTTACAATCTACACTATACCAGGATGCTTCCACATAAGTTTCAGCTTTTCTGGCCCAGTGGTTCTTGAGAAGAAGATTTTCAAAGATTTTTCCTATATATTTCTATATAAAACTTTGGTTCCCCATTGTGGCCCCGCCCTTCCCCCGGGGGTCATGATGTGAAATTTAGAATCTACTCTATACCAATGCTTCCACATAAGTTTCAGCTTTTCTGGCCCAGTGGTTCTTGAAAGATTTTCAAAGATTTTTCCTCTATATAAAACTTTGTTCTCCATTGTGGCCCTGCCCTTCCCCCGGGGGTCAATGTGAAAAATCTACACTTACCAGGATGCCTCAGCTTTTCTGGCCCATTTCTTGAGAAGAAGATTTTCAAAGATTTTTCCTATATATCTCTATATAAAACTTTGGTTCCCCATTGTGGCCCCGCCCTTCCCCCGGGGGTCATGATTTGAACAATTTAGAATCTACACTAACCCAGGATGCTTCCATATACGTTTCAGCTTTACTGGCCCAGTAGTTCTTGAGAAGAAGATTTTTTAATGATCCGACCCTATTTTTGTCTTTTCTTGATTATCTCCCCTTGCGAGGGGATATGTCCCTTCATTTTTACAATTTAAATTTCCCTTTACCCAAGGATGCTTTGTACCAAGTTTGGTTAAAATTGGCCCAGTGGTTCTTGAGAAGAAGTCGAAATTGTGAAAAGTTTACAGACGGACAGACAGACGGACAGACGGACGGACAGACAGACGGACGGACGGACGACGGACAAAATGTGATCAGAAAAGCTCACTTGAGCCTTCGGCTCAGGTGAGCTAAAAACTGAACATTGACACTTATAATTTATGGCTTATTAAAGGTTAATGTTTTTCCTCAGCTTTTGGCAAAATAAAAACAAAATGAGGCTTTACCTGTACTTGCATTTCTTTGGACTTCTTCGCCTGTCTCTCGTGTTGTGATATGACGGACAGGCATACCCCTGCCTACATAACCGAGGAGGCCTCTTGCACGGTTCTGTTTTATAGTTTGCCAGTACATAATTTGTATCTACAATATAATACAACTTGTTGATGGGTGCACTGCCTGTTGATGCTAGCTGGTATCAAAATTTCCAGAGGGCCTCTAACCTAGCAGTTTTTTTTCTCTCTCCCATTAAGAACTTCCTTCATTGTTAATTAATCAATATTTTCACCATAACAACAGTGATCAAGTTATCAACCTGTTATATTTACCTGTTATTGTGGTTTTGGATTTCACATAAATCATTAACATCAGGTGTTATTATTATTATGTCATTATTCCTTTTCTCATTTTACAAACATTGTATCATTATATTTCCTTCGGGTTATAAGAATGCTTACCATTCCACTTTGGGTCCTCTGCCAGAATTTTGTCCTTTTCTAAACTACTAGGGGTTCCAGAGGAAGAACTGAGTGAAGCCTTCAGATCTGGGGTCTCAATTGCCTGCAACTCTCTGATGTCATAAATTGGGGGTCGTAGGTCATGGGCTCCATGTGCAAATGCACAATGTGGCCCATTTTTGACACAGTTTCCCTTGGAATCTGTTTCATAGACACAAGTTCCTGTTTTATAATACCTCAAGTGGTACCTTCGCTCTGTGTCTCCAGCTGTTCTGTGTAGAAAGGGGCACCTGCAATGTTGACAGCAATACTAAACTGTCACAGGTGAAATCTTCACAACATTCATGTTTAAAATACAAACTGACATGCATGCAACAAATCTTCCTAAAATAGATTACACAGAGATATTTATTTTCATACCTATTATATTGCATTCGTTTACTTTTGGGTTGTCTAACACAGTTCTGTACCAAGCATATTATAATGAATAAAAACGATGACTATTATTTACTGCTGGAATAATTAATTAGTATATAAGATTTTTTTTACTTGATATATTTTTAGACATTTTTTCATATTGTCTAGGACTTTATTCATGCATAACATGACAGCCTTGACAACTGTACACTGTGACACAACAATAAAACATTCCACAAATTTTAATGCACAGCACTTTATAACCTTCTATTTATTTCACATTCCATTACACATTATCCTAATTTTTAATAATTGTTTACTTTCTTAAAGCTTACTTCACTTTGATATTTTGTTCATAAAAAAAATAAATCAGTAATTCTATCAAAGAAACTTTAAAATCTTATAATTGATTTGAAAATGCCAATGCTAGGTATCATAATGTATATGTGATCCATTTGACATGTAATCAGGGTTCATCTTTTGCAAAACTAGTACTAGCATTTTGTTATAGATTAGGTACTGGGTTTTATTCCTTTGACAATATATTGTTGCAGACTTTTTAAAAAAATTTTCTCTACAAAAATTCACTTCTAAAATTTATTACTTATTTTATTTCTTAACTTTTCTGAGCATTTTGCTTAGCTGAAAATTCATTGTTGTTTCGTTGGTGGTGAAGTTCAAGGTTACATCACTGACACACTAACCCTATTGCTCCAGTACGCATGACTTGAGAAAACAGCTGATTGAAATAAACATTTGGAAAGCAACCTCTACATTTTAAAATAATTTTTATGTAGTATGGTCATTTAATGTAATTTTGATATTCAGTCAGATTTTGTCAACCCCTGCTCCTGGGGTATTCCGGTATCTGATGGAGTTGGTTTTATTTACGTGTTGTTTTTATAAATAGATTGGTAAACATACCGTCAACACAATGAAAACTTTTTTGCTAGACCAATGTTTACCATAAAAGTTATTTTAATTTTATCAAAAGTAAATGAGAAAATAGTTTAATTATTTGATCCATTGTCAATTCGTAAATAACGGAGAAATAAAACGCAATTTCTGCAACTCCGCATTTTCCAACAAAATGGCGGACAATGTTTACAATATGTCAGATTGTTTTCCTTCAAAAAATTGAATATATTCTGACAAAACAGCATTGTGATTGATGTTTCTTGTCATAATACAACAAAGTCTAACAGGAAAAACAACTGTCATAAAGTCTTTTCACGAAACAAAATGAGAAATCTAGTTTTCTTTCAGTGACCAAAATATTTCCCACCAAAATTTGAATGGCGGCCAGAAAGACAATAAGGTACTCACTCATCCCCATCAGGACAAAGCCCATTCGTATCGTCATATTTGGTACAGTACACGTCTGGACTGTAATTAAAGGTTCCATCTCGTTTCCGAATAGGTCTTCGTCGTCTTTGATTCATAAAATGCCAGTGAAAGCAAGTGAACGGTCTATGCTGTGTGCATTTGTGTTGAAGAAATAACGGGCATTGTTGTGTTCTAAACTCTTTTAAATATCTGAAAAGAGACAGCAAAGTAAGTAAAAACAATTTAAGGCAGTTAATATGATCATCAGATGTTGTTCAATAAAACTTACAAGTAATGTTGCGGTTTTTCTGTTTGTGCTTGAACCGCTGGGCTTTCCGACGGCATTTTTGTTGTCAATATTTTCATAACGCGCATCATTGCTGCGCAGTTGTGAAATGTCATTGCATTCATTGGCGGAAAATACCCATGTGGCTTAGTTCACGACCTTTTCGCTAGCGCGCACTTGTCAAATTTCGAATTCTCCGAAACTTGACGAAATAAAATAAATCGAACATTAAATGGTGCTCATGGGAAATTGTGCTTTCTACTCCTTTCGTGTATTTTGCTATACTATATCTATAATATTTATTTATAATGCCTTTCTTCATGTTCTTTTAAACTAAATGTACTTTTTTTGGTTTTCAGAATTCATTGAATGGACCTTCAAAAATAAAATTGATATGTATACGGTGTGTATATGAATAAATAGTGACCAAAATATGTCAAATTACTAAAACTGTCGTTTCTCATCAATTTATAATATGCTTTTAAATACGCCTTTTAACAGGGCTTTGATCTTGCTACATGAAAACTTCCAAATACAGTTATATGGACTCCAAGATATTTGTAGCCAGATACAAGTCTTTCAAATTATTTTGAAACATATGTTTTTGCACAATATTAAACAAGCTTCATTAAAGGTCGTAACTTGAGGGGTTTTTTCCCGAATGTTTACCGATCAGAACAATACTTTTCAAGTTTAGAAAGTCTATTTGAATATACCTTTACCTGATGATGATAAAAAATAAGAGATATGAAACAGACCTAAATGACAAAAATCTATATAAGATTAAGATATTTAACCTTTCAAATGTGCTCAAGACGGAAAGAGTGAGACTGATTCATAAATCAACGGGCCAACGTTAACACTGGTCTCACAAACAAATCTTGATAGATAAATTTGCTATAAAAATACATTGGCATCAAATCATTAATTACCTTGGTCCAATTATGTTAGAGCTATTTTAGATGAATGTGGATAATCTTATTTCTGGACGACACTACAAGAATGACCATGTATGGTTTAGCATGGGTCAAAAATCGAGTACTATAGTAAAAACAATACTTGTTTACCAAAATATCCATACCTAGAAAGTAATGTTTATAATTCATCAAAGGGTTTTACGGGTATCTATCAAATTTATGAAGAAATACACATGTACCCTAATCAGAAAAAAAACTCATTATTTTGCCTCGAAAATTTTTAACTTTGCTTTGTAGATACAACCATTACATTAACAATTTTAACCTTTAATTTTTTTCCCCCGATTTTTATGTCCCTCCCCCTTTAAAGATTCGGGGATATATAGTTTTGCCGTGTCTGCCTATCTGTCTATTTGTCGGCAAAAACTTTAACCTTTCCCTTAATTTTTGATTGGTTGGATTTTGGTATGACCGACATGTAGAATTTTTTTTGGTCAGATTAAAGCGATCTGAAGGCCTGTGTTTCACACGTGCATTCCTTGTGACAAGACCCTTCTTAAATCTTTGGGTATATATCAACATATTTACTTCTTCACCCTGACTTTGGAGTTTTACCCACCTTTTCAAAAATTTACCAACTTTGACTTTGGCCATAATTTTTGAACAGTTGTTGCTAGGCCCGGGCTTCCATACTCTAAATTTTGTATTTTGACAAGGCCTTTCCTTGTGTATAAATATTTTTACCTTTTGATCTTGACCTTGGAGTTTTACCCCTTTTTATTAAAACTGTAATTTTGACCATCACTCTTTGAATTTTTAGAACTACGTCTAGGGCTCTCATACTTCATACACCTAAATCACTGTAAAAAGAACTTTCCTTGGATATATTTTTTTTGTTTTTTGACCTTGACGTTAGAGTTTGACTCACTTTTAAAATACTTTAATCGTGTTTATATAAATAACTCTTGAACATTAAGTACTAGGGTTTTCATATTTGACAGGTGTTTTCCCTGCATGTAACATAGCCCATCTTTGGATATTAACGATTTTGACCTTGACCTTTGAGTTTAATCTAGCTGTACACTGGGAAAAAATTAACCTTGTCAACAACTTTTGAACAGTTGGTGCTAGGGCTTTTATATTTTATATGTGTATTTCTTGTGAGAAATTCCTCTGAGTATTATTAACTTTGACATTTTGACCTTTACCTTGGAGTTTGACACACTTTTTATAAACTTTTAACTTTGCCATGACTTTTGAACGATTGGTACTTGGGCTCTCATTTTCACATCTTCCCAAGTCAAGGGTTTCTGCTCGATACTGCTCCACATGTGGTGCGGAGTCGATCAGAAACCATTAGGAAGTTGATTGCACAGGTACCGGTTTATTCATTGAGATAAGTATACTCTCTTTTAGTATCAACATTTTTAATCTCTTGACCATTGACCCAGGCATTTGACTTTAAAAAATCAGAAAAAATATTGAAGAGGGGGGAGGGGGGGGGGGGTAAAGGGACAATCCTTTCCACGAATATGAAAAAAAAAATCAGTTTGCCTTTTCAAAATTTATACATTCGTAAAGAAAAAAAAGATAAACATCAGGCTTGGGGTCAATTACTTTGAAATGTAATTAATTACTTTCAAATACATTGATAATTTAGTCAAATACTTGCAATTACAATTACATTGATTTTTTCAAATGTAATTAATTACTTTCAATTACTTTGACAAATGTAATTAAATACATTTCAATTACTTGAGTCTTATTTAAAAATAAAAAAAAAAATTTTTTTTTTGTAAAAATAAGATTTTTTTTATAGTGAATTTTTATTCGGTGTTTTTGTTCTTGACAGGGGTTCACACCTTGACCAATTAAGACCTTTACCTATAATGACTTGGGCAGTGTTACACACTGTATAAACAAATTAAAAATTATTGTACAAACACAAGCCCATGCTACACCAGCATGGTGTATGACAAGAGGTTTGTTACTTTCTTGAATCCATATTTTTGAATAAAATAAATTAATATTTCTCTAAAATCTATTCAGTATTTTCTATCTTAAAATGTATAGAATACATGCACATGTAAATCTGAAAGGAGATGTAGTTAGTCTATAATTACTGTAAAAACAAACTATCTAAACCATCTATTGTCTTTTCAAGTGGGAATAGGTAGAATTGAGATTTTCAAAAGAGTGGGAATAGGTTATATCCACGAGTGTAAAAACTGTGTATCAGTATATAAACTTTTATTTTTTAAAATTTTAAAAGTAATTGAAATGTGTTGAAAAGTAATTGAAAATACATGACCTTTTTTGAAATGTATTTAAATACATTCAATTACTTGTAATTGAAAGCTCACTCAAATACAAATTACTTCCAATTACTTTGAAAAATGTAATTAATTACACTAAAATACAATTACTTTATTCAATTACCCCATCCCTGATAAACATGTACATAATTTTGATAATTTACCAGTATTTGGAGGTCGCTGTTGTGATAGCATGCACGATATCACCTATATTAAGTGTAAATAAAAAATAAAGTTTAAAGTAGTTCGTAATCGCAAACCATTAACACGAGAGAGGCAAATGGCAGAGAGAGATGAGTATTTTGAAATGCTTTTGAACATCCATTTATAAATGAAGATGTATAATTTTGTCCACATTATTCCATTTTAAACACAACTTAAACTTGAATTTAATGTTACAGTACAAAGATTCCTTGCATTTCATGCAGTCAGTTTGAATAATAGGATTCCTTCCTTGTCTTCTTAAAACAGAATACAGAAAGATTTGTTCATACTGTTCCTATGTAATTATTTGTACCAGTGTGCATTTATTAAACTTGTTTCAAGGTAAATTTTGGAGTTTAGGTCTATTATTTTGTTTGTTTTCTAACTTTGTGTGTGTATTTTGTGTATTTTTTTTAAGGCAGAGATTTTAAGCACCGCCTTCAAAAATACCTGGTCTGGGTAGCCCTGTCAATCAACTGCACGAAGGTCCATCATTGGATGCTGGAACTTGATTGACAGTTACTTACTGGTCCCTGTGTATACCCTGTACACCTTGACTGGGACTCGTGATGACCTTCTAATTAACTTTTGATCCTTTGATGTTTACTGAACATGGTATACAGAAACTTTATCACTATGAAAATTTTTAGATTGATAATATGACTTGAAATATACCTTTAGTATTTGAAAGATTATAATATAATATGCATTTAAAAAATTTGGTACATAAAACTTTTTTCAAATGAAATTTCGATATAATTTTTAATATGCTAAATGGTAAACCTTAATTAAGTGAATATGTTATTGAAGTTCAGAGCATCACTGTCTGAAGTAATTAAATTTAAAATAATGATTCTAATCATATGGGTCACCTACATTTCCTTTTTTTTTTTTTAATAAGAATCATCATTTTATAAATTGTCAAGGAAATTTGGTGCCTCTCCAAAGTCTCAACTGGAAAAATATACGTGGGTGTGTGTGTTAGATTTAACTTTTTTTAAAAAAGGAATATCTGCGAAAAGACGACTGTTCCTAGATTATCGAATTAATTTTTGTTCAGGTGCCGAATTCATTTGAAATGCCGTTCCCTGCAAATATTGAATTGAGAGAGAGAAAGAGAGAGAGAGAGATGTTTATTTTTAGATATTCTAAAAATAGAAAACACGTGGACAATATGAAGCCGGAAGCCACTCTTCGATCATTCCATGATGTGATAATGAGAGAGAGAATTCCAATTTTCAAGTATACTGTTTTAATCGTTTTTGTTTCACAGTGACACTGAAACTTGATTGACACAACTGGATATTTATGAAGACGGTAAGTTTTGTACAAAATTAATTAATTTTGACATGTGCATGTATGACACGTAGGCCTATATACGTTAGGCATTTTATAAAAATGTAATGCCTATTAAATGCAAACAACATCTGATGCTCATATGGATTGAATATTTCACACAAAGAACATAAGGCCCATAGGTCATAATGCTCACCTGAAACACCTAGCTTGTACCCGCCGTAAAAAATTCTCCCTCTTTTTCCTATAAAATTTTTGATGCCATAGCATGCGCTTTGCCCAGTCCCAAAGTGGCCATCAGGTCATGGCATTATTAAACTTAACATTATATGGGGGTGCTTCTGTAACCAGAGAGGGAAAGAATTTGATGGACTAGGGTTTGAACCCATGCCCCCAGTCAGTCGATAAGTTCTTGTAATTACTATCCTAGAAACACCCCATTCCATCCCCCTCCAACCCATCCCTCAAATGTGAAAAGACAATAAAAACAAAATACATGTAGTACATCAATTGTTGCCTTTTGTCAGTATATACTTATACATTGTTGATAAACTAAGTACAATCAGTGACGTATATACGTCACTGGTACAATACATCACTATAAATATTTGCAGTACCCCATTTTCATGGAATAGCTATTTAGAAAATTTATTTAGGCAAAACAAAATTTTCACAAATTCTGGTTATTGGTATTATATAATCTATACTGTTAAAGATGTATAATATGAGAATGAAATTTTACGCTTGTAAACAGTCTTCAACTTTCATATCAGTAATGGTAATAAGACAAGAATTAAGTACTCAAAAATTAAAAATAGGATTTCTAATTTTCACTTCTTAGGTTATACTTGAGCATTGTCTATGAATTAATACTGTGATTAGTTTTGATTTTACCATTTTTTTTTTATTCTTGCAGACCTAGAGCACTGGTGTGGTAATTCCTAGAGACTGTGAACCAAAGAAAAAACTTGACTGATTCTTACAAAATGAGTGAAAAGGAAGGAGATGTCAATGATAAAGTTAGTGTCCTTCATGTTTTTAGCTCACCTGAGCCGAAAGCTCAAGTGAGGTTTTCTGATTAAATTTTGTTCGGCATCCGTCTGTCTAGCTGTCTGTAAACTTTTCACATTTTCGACTTCTTCTCAAGAACCACTGGGCCAATTTCAACCAAACATTTTTAAAGTATCCTTGGGTGAAGGGGATTAGAGTTTGTTCAAATGAAGGGCCACGCCCTCTCCAAGGGGAGATAATTAAAAATTAGTGAAAAATTAATGATACTTTTAAAAATCTTCTCAAGAACAGCAAAGCATTATTGGTCATACAGGTATTTATATGGAAGCATCCTCAGAAAGTGTAGATTTAAGTTTATTCAAATCATGACCCCTGAGGATATGGTGGGGCCACAATGGACGAGCAAAGTTTTATAAAGGAGTATATGGGAAAAAAATCTTCTCAAGAACAGCTAAGCCATGATTGGTTATTATTTATATGGAAGTTTCCTATGGTAGTGTAGATTCAAGTTTGAATCAAATCATGCCCCCGAATGTAGGATAGGGCCATGATGGATGAACAGAAGTGTTTAAGAAAAATCTTCTAAAGTCACTCGGCAGCAAAATCATGATTGGATATATTTACCGGTATATGGAAATATACTCAAGTAGTGTAGATTCAGATTTGTTCATATCATGACCCCTGGGCCGGAAGTAGGGTGGGACCATATTGAATTGAGAGGGAAAAAAAAAACAGTCAAAGAAATATGTATAAGCATCCTAAGTTGGTTTAGGTTCAAGTTTGTTTAAATCATACCACTTTTTCTTTGAAGCTAAATGTGCATTCTGTAATATAACTTTTTTCTTCAATTAACAGATTTTGTTGGAGCCCTATAACTATATATGCCAGATACCAGGGAAAAAAGTCAGGGCAAAGCTAGCTGCAGTAAGTCTTTCCTTTATTACTGACCACATCATGAGTAGTATCAAACTCTTTATTGGTTATTTTTCCAAATAATTTTTAGCTCACCTGAGCCGAAGGCTCAAGTGAGCTTTTCCGATCTTATTTTGTCCGTCGTCCGTCCGTACGTCCGTCTGTAAACTTTTCACATTTTCGACTTTTTCTCAAGAACCAATGGGCCAATTTTAATCAAACTTGGTACAAAGCAACCCTGGATGAAGGGGAGTTTAAATTGTTAAAATGAAGGGCCAAGTCCCCTTACAAGGGGAGATAATCAAGAAAAGACAAAAATAGGGTGGGGTCACTAAAAAATCTTCTTCTCAAGAACCACTGGGCCAGGAAAGCTGAAACTTATGTGGAAGCATCCTAGGGTAGTGTAGATTCTAAATTGTTAAAATCATGACCCCCATGGGTAGGGCGGGGCCACAATAGGGAACCCAAATTTTACATAGAAATATATAGAACAAATATTTAAAAATCTTCTTCTCAAGAACCACTGGGCCAGGAAAGCTGAAACTTATGTGGAAGCATCCTAGGGTAGTGTAGATTCTAAATTGTTAAAATCATGACCCCCATGGGTAGGGCGGGGCCACAATAGGGAACCCAAATTTTACATAGAAATATATAGAACAAATACTTAAAAATCTTCTTCTCAAGAACCACTGGGCCAGGAAAGCTGAAACTTATATGGAAGCATCCTTGGGTAGTGTAGATATTGAATTATTAAAATCATGACCCCCGGGGGTAGGGCGGGGCCACAATAGGGAACCCAAATTTTACATTGAAATATATAGAACAAATCTTTAAAAATCTTCTTCTCAAGAACCACTGGGCCAGGTAAGCTGAAACTTATGTGAAAGCATCCTTGGGTAGAACAGATATTAAATTTTTAAAATCATGACCCCTGGGGGTAGGGCAGGGCCACAATAGGGAATCCAAGTTTTACATAGCAATATATAGAACAAATCTTTAAAAATCTTCTTCTCAAGAACCACTGGGCCTCAAAAGCTGAAACTTATGTGGAAGCATCCTTGGGTAGTGTAGATATTAAATTGTTAAAATCATGACCCCCGGGGGTAGGGCGGGACCACAATAGGGAATCCATGTTTTACATAGAAATATAAAGAACAAATCTTCAAAAATCTTCTTCTCAACAACCACTAAGCCAGGAAAGCTGAAACTTATATGGAAGCATCCTGGGGTAGTGTAGATTCTAAAGTTTTAAAATCATAAAAGGGAAGGGGGTAGTGGGGCATGATAGGTAAAGCAAGAGGAGGAATTTGGTAAAGAACTGCATCACCCAAGTTACTTAGGTGAGCGATGTGGCCCATGGGCCTCTTGTTTCCTTAAATTTCATTGTTGAAAGTAAGTTGGTAGAGGTAAAACAAATATAAAAAGTAAAAAGAAAAGCCTCAAATTTTTTATATTATTTTTTTTTTGCCCCATGAAATATCTACTGTCCAAATTTCAGTTAAAGAATGACTGCACTTAAGCTATGAGAGTTGGATCCCCATGTTTTGCGCAAAATATAATTCCAAAATTCATTACATTTTTGTTTTATAGGTATTAAACAATATCTTAATAGCAGGTTTTGGTATATTATATTACATGAAAGTATTAAATAATGTCGAGCGACACTAGCTTTTGAGACGGGGGTCTAACAGTTTTGTCTCATTTCTATTGTTATTCATATGCATACCAGTTTTCAACGACTTTGTTTACATCGAGCCGCAACTTGGCCATTTTTCTTATTTGCTCAGAATGTGTATTTTAACCTAAACTTATACATATCCAAAGGACAATGTTGGCCAAGTTGCGGCTCATATCTAATTTAAAAAAAAATGTTCCCCAAACTAGGGTCGAGATAGCTACTAAATTAACCGGGCACCGAGCATCAACGATTGATATTATAATCACCTTTCTCATGTGACCTTCTGCTGTTCGATAAGCTAATGCTTTCATTGAAAATTTCATTGTGCTTAAGTCAATGTTGTGACATTATCTATCGTAATTCCAACTTCAAACTGTGGGAGATTTTTTTGCAAATTTTAATAAGGTTTGAAGATAATATGTCTCTTATTTAACTTTATGCTTTTCATTAGGGGTGTTTTGAAAGAATTCTGGTATTGACAGTGTCATTAGTTAGTACATGTATAGGCTTATGTCGCCTCTGTATTATGGTCTGCAGAGCAAGACATATACCCCATCCCTTAACATTAGAATCATTTAATAATTGTGCACCATAAAATCAACACGATCTCTCTCTCTTCTCCATTTCAATTCGTAGTGCGAAAACAATCATATGTGCTAATGTTTACATTCCACAACCACGCGGTTTAAATGTCTCCGCCTATTTGCGGATACCTTAGACTCGAAAGTGGTCTCGTTCAAATTTCCGGAATTTAAGGATTTTACATGTTCTTTTCAGTTATATTTTCTGTAATTATAGAAATATGTATGAAAAAAAATTCTATAAATAAATATCAAAAGCATATGCTTGCACATTAATCATAGATTGATTTAGCGATATATTGTAATATTAAGCTTAAAATGGGTAGCCGAAAAGGTTCCAAATGACATACATAAGTGCACTCATTCTTTGATTTCAATTTTTGTGCTATCCTACAAATATACAGATAAATAGACAGACAAATGATAATTGACTTTTTCTCTTTTTCTTAACTCTACATATATAGGCATTCAACTGCTGGCTGAATATTCCTGAGGAGAAACTGAAATTAATTGGAGAAGTCACTCAGATGCTGCATAATGCCAGTCTATTGTAAGATTCACATTCACTGCGCTTCCTTTTTAAATGTTCCAAGTATTTGTTTAGGCAAGCGTTTCAGACACAAGTTGTTAGAATGTCTCTGATCAGCTTTTATGTACACGGTACATACTATGTAAATAAATATAACCTGAAGTAAACATAATTGTACAATACTGCATTACAAAACACAGTTTTCACAATCACTGCCTCTTTATTTGGTCCTTGAAGCCATTCAAGGAAAGTCTTATCTTCAACCTCATTCACTAAATACTATTATTATATAGTCTATTTATAGTCCCTATATAATCTATACAAACGCAAAAAGTTCGTAACACTACATATTCACCGGATTTTAGGCCGTATTCACCGGAGGGTCAATGCGCGTGCAACGGCATTGTGATGTCACAATTACTACCTCAAACAACGTTGTAAACAATTGTGGCCGTATTCACCGGAGGGTCACTGTGCGTGCAACGGCATTGTGACGTCACAGTCATAACGTCAAACAACGTTGTAAACAATGGTTGCACCGGCCGCAGAGAGCTACGTATCTGAGCAGAAAAACAATTATTCAAACCTATTTCAGGATTATTTTTTATTATTTGGACGTCTTACATATAGCAAAATTCGGAACGAAAACACGGAAGTTACAAAGAGTAATCTTGAGATTTTTTTCTATTTTCAACAATGGAAGATCGCAAATGAAAATGGTGTCGTCATACAGCCTTCACTGTCTTTTTTTATTCAAATCCCGACTATATAATAAAACAATTATGGACTCTTTTGGTGTTGAATATGGTTTGTTATTCACCAGAAAAATATCCATATTGACCGAGGCGAAATATGGTTTGTTATTCACCAGAAAAATATCCATATTGACCTCGGCTTCGCCTCGGTCAATATGGATATTTTTCTGGTGAATAACAAACCATATTCAACACCAAAAGAGTCCATAATTGTATAGTACATGTATATTTCATAATGATTGAAAGTATGCCAATTTATCAAATGATTTTTTTTTTATATTTTCATACATATTTTAAGGGGAGGGAGTATTTCTTAGCTTTTCAAAACTCTTATGGATGAACAAGAATAAGTAGATTATAATAGATAGAACAGAAATGTTGAACGAATGGCAAGTCAATACATTCAAGAATGTTATCATTAATATACTTTTGTATTCATTAAATTTTTAACCATTCTGCATCATACTTTTGCCTAAAATTTCACACAATTAGGCAAATTTTATGTGGTGACTGAGTTGTTGTTGACATGAATTCAGTCTTTCCTATTTTTGTTCCAATTAATACTAGACTTCATAAATGATATTTCATTTACTTGCAGAATTGATGATATTGAAGATAACTCTAACTTAAGAAGAGGAATTCCAGGTACATATTCACTTCTTTTTAGCTTACCCGAACCTTGGAAAAATGTCCAAAAAAAAGCCAAATCTGTGTTGTATATAAACTTTTTACATTTATAAAAGAAAATAAATAAGATGAAATAGGCAAAGATAACAAATATGTCCATCTAAGAAAAAATGATTTCAGAAGTAGGAACAGGTGTGTATTAGGAGTGATAATCCCCAGTTGACCGGTCACATCTGCCTTGAGCCCTATGTATTGATCAGATAATCAGTGTGCTCCTTGGTCAAATTAAGAGATATTTTATTGTAACTTTCAAATTGCCCTTTCTCAAAGAAAAAGTTTTACATAGGAAAAATCTCGGAATTAATCTTTAAAATCTTCCTCTCGTGAACAGCAAAGCTTTGACTGGTCACATGAATATGGAAGCAAAGGAGAAAAAGCAGGGATTTATTGACTTGGATGAGCACTGTAGCCCATGGGCCTCTCTTATATTGATAAGAGTTGTATTTTAAATTGTAGATCTTACATTTTATTTAAAGAATTTTGAATTTTGTTTTCAGTGGCTCACAATATATATGGAGTTCCACAAACCATAAACTCAGCTAATTATGTATATTTTCTGGGATTAGAAAAAGTTCTACAGTTAGACCATCCAGACAGCACAAAAGTATTTACAGGTAAATTGACACGTTTAAATTTATTGCTTTTCTAGACTTGCATGGTTTTTTTTTGTTTTTGCAATAAGGGATATGCAAAAAACAAAAAACAAAACAAAAAAAAACAACAACAAAACTACAGTACTTTTTGATATACAAAACAAGTTATTACCTAATGCTTGTAAATATGACATATTCATTGGGGTAACCGGAGCTGAAAGCTCTTACTGTAAATCACTTTTTATTCGCGAGAACTTTATTTTCGCGTAATTATGCGAGAGAGTGTGCTCGCAAAAATTTAATTCTCGTGTACAATAGTATTCCTTAAGAATATATAGAGCAATAACCACAATTCGCGAAAATTTTGTCTCGCTAATCAATAGTCAATGACTATCACGCGAAAATATGATGTCGCGAAAATTAAGTGATCTACAGTATTTGTTCAAATCATTGCCACTGGTGATTGGAAAGGGCCATGATTTAATAGGGATAAAAAAATCTTACATTGAAATGTATAAGGAAAATGTATTGGAAAAAATTCTCAAGACCCACTGGACCAAAAAGGATGAAACTTATGTGAAAGCTTCAAAAGATAATTTAGATCCAAAACAGTTCTCTCATGGCCTTTGTCAATAGAATGGGGACACAATAGGGAACAAAAGTTTCCAATGAATCTATACATGAATCATTTTTAATTTTTTTTCATGTTATGGACCATGAGTTAATTCTTGGTTAAAATAATGATCAAATTTTACATAATGCATGTATGTAGGGAAAAATAATTCTTCTTCTTAACTGCAAGGCCATGATAGTTAAATATTAATACTGGAGCTTCCAATGGGATGTGGATTCAGAGACCCGTTAGAGTTAGGGTTGGGCCAATAATGGGATCACACTTTTTCATGGGAATATGATTGAAAAAAAAATTCTGAAGAAACAGCAGTGCTAAAATAACTCAGGTGAGCATCATGGTCCATGAGCATTGTTTATTTTAATACTTTGTTTACTGATTGTTTTACAGCCCAGCTCCTGGAGTTACACAGGGGACAAGGTATGGATATTTACTGGAGGGATGCTGTGGTGTGTCCTACAGAGGAGGAGTACAAGGCCATGGTCATCAAAAGTAAGGTCAAGGACATGCAACTCAGAAAAGTCATATATCAAAGGTTACCTGACTTAGTAAGGTCATAAAGATCAAGGTCATTCAACTCATTAAGTTCAGAAATGACAGGTTCATTCAACTCAGTAAGCGTCATTTGGGCAGAGGAAGTCCTAGGCAAGGTGTAAAAAGACCCAAATTCTGTACATCGAGTTTCAGTTTGAATTGTATCATTACGTGTATATCTATGGTTTAATTCTTTTAATAACTTTGTAGGGAGGGGGGCTATACTGAAAAAAAAACATGCCCATTCGTCTGTCTAAGCCCTATTAGGATAACTCTTAATTTTTTAAGAGACTGAACTTTTAACTTTAGAATTCTTTGGACACTCATCTGATACTGGTGTTAATTTCAGAGACAGGAGGACTGTTTGGTTTAGCCGTGGGGCTGATGCAGCTCTTTAGTGAATGTAAAAAGTAAGTCCTACACTTACATGGTATACAGTTTGTCTGACTTACTAAACTCATTGTATACAGCATATGTTTCATTCTCGATTTCTAATTTCAGAGATTTTGTTCCTTTATTAAATGCCTTAGGATTGTATTTCCAAATTAGAGATGACTATGCTAATCTGTACTCCAAAGAGGTAAATATCCTAGTTCATAAATTCAAGACACTAATTAAAACTATAGGTACATTGCCAATTAACCAATAGAAATAACAAATTCCTTTTATACCCTCATAATATATATTTCAGTATGAAGCAAACAAGAGCTACTGTGAGGACCTGACAGAGGGGAAATTTTCTTTTCCTATAATCCATGCCATAAGGAGCAGCAAGGAAGATAACCAGGTTATTAGTATCCTTTGTCAAGTGACCATACAGGAGTTAGCTCCCTCAATTTAAGAATTAATAGTCAGAAGTTTCATTTATGCCACCAGCCTCAGTATAATATCCATGTTTGTAGAGAGATAGATCATTCCTCCAAGTTTGTTAATCCATAAGGCTATAAATTCCTTAGCTTTGATTTAGATATACTAAGACAGCGGACGACTGATAATGATGTGAAGAAATACTGTGTAGAATGTCTACATAAACTAGGATCATTTGATTATACAAAGGAAACCTTAATTGAATTAGAAAACAGGTAAACTGTATAAACTATGGCTCCAAATACACATGTACAATTTTTTAAAAATATTATGGTAGAGTTATGCCCCTTTAGCTGTGATGACACCACTGAATACTCATCAGAGTGATTTTATTTTTTGTAGAATTTTGGAGCTGATTAAAGAACATGGTGGTAATCCTATTTTAACTGCATTAATTAATGAACTCAAGAAAGTTTACAGAGAAACTCAATAACAACAAGACTTTAACTAATAGTATTTGCAATCTCACTGCCAACTCTCAACTCTCATGCTCATCATGAATGGACCAATGTGATAAAACAGAACATGGACAGTTCAATATGACCATTTTCATTGATATTCATTTTGCTGAATAAAATATGCAAAGAATTTCTGTTTTTACATTTATTTTTAATCATAGACATGGACAACATGAAAGTCATAGATCATTACATTCACTGAAGTCCTAGGACAAAAGTTTGTTACAAGACTTCACACAATTGGGTGGGACTGCTTCCTTGGCCTTCTTACATAAAGGCATTGCGTAATGATGTCTTGCTTCAGACTCACAATAACTCCTTACAGATTAGGTTGAGAAGTTCTAAGTCTGTGTTCAGAATTCTGGTAACTTTCCTTCATTCTCCACGTGGTATATGATGTCTGCGAGGGCATACTCGACCATTGTCTGAGACGCAGCATCTGACATCTGAAATATACAACATATTGAATGTTTTAATAAAGAACTTGGAACTAATTCAAGTATCTCAATGACCATCTCCTACAGAGTGTAAAAAGGAAATACTGTGAAATAAAATATTTTCGTGGGTGCAAATTTTCAAGGTTTTAGAAAAAAATATTGATTATGTGGGGATCTGATTTCGTGACAAAAGTTTTCAGTAAAAATGCTTATCAAATTTTACAATTCCTGGTGGTAATGAATTTGTGGGTCTCTCTATACCTCAAAAACAATAAAAATTCAACCACCACAAAAATTAGTGATTTCATCAGGAAACATAATTCTGTACACAAAAAGTTTATGAAAAGGTGCTTCAAAACCAGGTGCAAATAACCAGTGGAACTACAATTTCTTATTAAAAATATCTGGTCAGATTGTTATGAGAGATCTAGTGACTAAAAATTAAAATTTGGGTTTTTTCTGCTGAAATCATTTGGTTAACAGCATCTATCTTTCAAATGAGAGTCGTATTAAGTAACATACCGGTCTGAAGTCCTTAAGGCCCTGCGGGGGACATTTGAAGTCTGGTCCAAAATTCATGGTCACCTGCAAAAATAGAACAGAGGCTAAATTTCACAAGGCATTTCATGATGTAAAACCTTTGTATTTACCTTAGGACAGAATTTCTGTGATTCTTTCACACAGAAACATACAAACCTTGGCATTTTTGTAGAGAGAGACTGCAGGATAATATACACCCTCAAACACATCTTCATACGCTATTCCCTGGGAGACTCCATTCTTGTACATAATGATCTGAAACACCCAGAAAAAAGTTTCAATATTGAAATAACGAATCAAAACTGAAGTTGTGTCAAACATGAAGTTTTTAAGAGCAGTTTTCTAGTAATGCAACCAACCAGCATTGTAATTAATAGTCTTTTATAGGAGCTGAAACATATTTAAGTGAAGAGCACTTTTTGAGATTTCAACTCCATTAGCAACAAGCATCAAAGATCAATACTCCATTAGATGAGTAGCTGGATCAGTTATGATTAGAATGATGTTACCTGCAGTCCAAACATATGTGGCAGTCACTTGAGGGGCACTTGTTATCACAAATTATCATAGATCTTGGTTTTAGGGACTTTTGGGAGCAGGTATTATCAGGTATTTCACAGGACCAAATGATGGAGTCAGGGATTTCAAGGGTAAAACATTTAATATGAAGAATGTGATTGTTCAACAAATCTATTAGGCAAATCCTTATCTTAATTAAAATTACTCATTAGTTTTAATTAGAGAGGATAGGGCTTAATACATGTACCAGGTTTATCCCTGGAACCCATCAGTGCCTACAGAAAATTCATAGTGTATATCAAGATATTGCGCCAGGTCATTATCTGGAAATCTTAACCTGGGATCCAATTTGTGGATTTGGGAATTTAAGGTACATGTATCAGTAACTGCTGATGACATCAGAGACATTGCAAACTCATTATGTGAGAATCAGTCAGTGGTTTCTAAATATATGAGGGCCAGTCCTATCGGTAGTTCCACAGTATGCATGTTTTAGGGTCAGTCTTTACCTGGGATACTATAAGTGGTTTCTGAGTATATGAGGGCCAGTCCTATCTGTTATTTCAGAGTACTAGTATACATTCTAGGGTCAGTCTTTACCTGTAATACTTTCAGTGGTTTCACAGTACGTAGGGGCCAGTCATTAACTCAGAATTACCTGTGATCCTATAAGTGGTTTTAATGATTTTTCAGTCTCTGCAACATGATCTTTTTCTTCATAGTAAAGATGACTCTTAAACTTGACCAATGGCTGCAAAGACAGAAGATAAAACCTAATTAAAAATAAATTATTATGACTACAGAAGGATTTTAACAGAAATACTTTATTTTTATTCCCATCTGATATTAGTGTAATTACAACGTTTCCTTGTTCATAACCTGTAATAAGAATTTGCTGCACCAACGTAAACATTTTTTTCATATTATGTCTTCTAAAATCAGTGCTTTAAAGAAACACGCTAGCAAATGAAATATCATACTGACATTAGAAAACAAAAACTATATACTCATTGTTTATGTAAATACTTTTAGAGTTTTGTTTAAATTTTACAAATTCTTGTGAGGAGATTTAATGACACTTTCGTTTAACATTTAACTCTAGAGTACGTACACCTGTGGTGCTTTATATACTTCCTTTATCCCGATCTGTTTACATTATCATTCAGCCTAACTATAATAATAAAAGGAGTTTTTTTCTTTATGCTGCAATTCAGTTGTCTGAAAGCAATGCATGTAATCTTCACGGCTAATGAGCGGTCTTCTTCCTCGTATAGTTTGAAGTGTTTCCTTGTCTTATAACAAGTACCACTCGTCTTCACTCGAGGTACCCCTGGTAAGTCGTTTTGTTGCCGACTGTTTTATATAATAGCTTCTGGTGATCTTATTTTTTTTTCTTGAGTAGTTTGTTTTAATTTTGCAAACAGAATAACATCTCAAGAATTTTCTTTCTGCACACAACAATTTTGTTACAGCATTGTTTTTATTTTAAATTCTGGTTAATTTAATTCCGAGAAAATGAATGTAAGATATAAATCGCTAATGAACTGTAGGGAAATTTAACTCCTTCCTTTAGAGGTTTTAACTACTTAATTTCAGACAAGATATTTTGTAAAAACTAAATATCTGTATGACCAATGACAGTATTAATGACTCAGTATATTGACTGAATATTTTATTTATAGAAATAATTCATAAGCCCTCACACGCAGTTTCTCACTGCAAAAAACAAACGCTCTGTAAAAACAAAAAATAGAACATATATTAATTCCTGTGTTGTTGAAACTGACATTATACTTTCTTTACTAAACTCTTACACCGAGTTGAAAAGTTAATGACATCAGCAAAGAGAATTGCTCAATTCAGGACACAATTTGACTTATTACATTACAGATGCTATTAAATTAAGCTAGTTAGCGGAGATAATGACATTGTGCACTATGGGTATAGAAGGAAATGACTCACACAGCGCCACATTGACACATTCCTTTGAACTTAGGTATTAGCGGTACAGGGAATCAGCCTTATCTCTTGTGTACATATTTTGTTGTTTTTAACCCCCATAGAAATATGAATTTATCACAGTGCAGGCTTTGTTGTGAGGAAAAGTAGGAATATTTTTGTGTTACAGAGCACCTGCTTGGTTAACATTGTGTGCGAGCCCTGCCAGTGAATTCTCTGTTTATAGGGATCACACCAGTTCTTACTAATCTGTGTAATGCTGTTCTGCCCTTGTGCACGGGAAGGTTGCAGATTTATTGATTTGCAATCAGTGTAGTCTTTCTCAGGTCAACTCCGATGAACCAAGCCATTTCTCTGTATTGACAAACAAGGATTTTAAATGGCAGCATGTGAATGACATTCTTGTGTGTGGTAAAATTAACAAACCCTGTGTTAATTATAGAGTGAATTTTTTTTGCAGACATAGCAGGATTAGGTGCGAGTCTTACGTACACACTTGAATGACCTTTTTGCCTGAGGAAATGTTTATGTCAGTGTGTACTATTTCATCCTTAGCAATCAGGAGTTATGTGTAGTATCTCTGGCTGGGAAAATCCTGTATGTACTCCCCTTACTTGCAGTTTGCCTTCATGTCTTGTATGAGGTGATTCAGATGTGTTCTAACATGGAAATATGGATATTATGTGTGTTGGTTGTGGGCTGGGAGACAACATGGTGCTTTCCTACACCTGCTAGTAAAGCCAAGGAGGAGGAATTTCTCAAGCCGGCTCCACATCCTGTTATAGAAACCATTGAGGCTGGTAAAAATAATACTCTTCACCTTATTCAGGAAGTCGCCCATTCAAATCAGAACACTCAGCCAGCTAGCCCCACTAATGATTTAGGTCGAAAAGTAATTGGATACACAAATAATTTTCAATATAGTAACAAAAAATTTTTGAGGGATTATGAGACAGAGAGTGAAAGAGAGAAGTCTAAGGTGATTTTTGAGTATCGTACAGTGAAATCGAGCCGCCCTGAATCCCTCTCTCTATCCCGGAGAGAAGCACTTCAACAAGCGGATGTTGACGCTAGCGGAGGTTCGTGGTCGACAATGGTGTTGACAATTGCGAGCACCCTTGTGGCTCTGTTCAGCATGTCTGTCCTTGTAGCAGTCTTCCAATGCTGTTGTCGCAGGAGAAAGCGCAGTGCGTCCCCAGAAACTGAGGAAAAAGAGGAGAAAACAGCCGAAGACAAAAACCAGAACAACGAAAAAGTCAACAAAGAGGAAGTATCGAAACCAACCAGCAAACAAAACGACAAAAAACAAGGGTGAGTTTGGAATGTTTTGTTACAAGAATACTCAAGTGATGATTGTTAGCTTCTCTATAGTCACAAGTCCTTGAAAAACTTACCATATATATAGACTTAACAATGTAATTCTTAACTGTGAGGCTTAGTGTTGAGAAAATCTGTAGCAAAAACAAACAGAACAGATATACTGTTTTATAGCCCCACCATAAGTAGCTATGAGTAGTACAGTTGACAGTGTAGTGCAAAATAGCCTTGGGGTGTCACTACAATAAGTTTGTCACACAGTGTACAAATTGATTTTCCACCTGTCAGATAATGATGAATGGTTAGGTATCATAACTTCCTATTAAGCACCTCTCTTTCTCTATTGATCCTAGTCAGGGGAGCCGTTCCAGGCCCATCAAATACTCTGGTGCCACACATTACAGAAATCCAATACAGCTATAACTCCGATCCTGCTTACAGAAACCTACAACTTTAGCATTCTTAAAGAAACAAAAAAAAACAAGCCTCTGATTCTGGTTTATAACCCCAAATGCCCCGATGCAACAGGTTTTCATTTTTATTGAATTCATCTGGTGATAATAAACACTCTGCAACTTTGTTAATTAGTCGAGCTAGTAGCAGGCCCCATCTGATTTATATTAACAAGTTTATACATTTTGCAAAGAAAAAGGTAATAGTGTTAGGTTGGAAGACGTCCAAACAAATACTAACACTTCACAAAAAACAAGGAAACTATGATCTAGCTTCAAGCATTCTTAATCACGTTAACCAGTAATGTACAGAAATGTAAAGTAGAATTTGAACTCTCACAATATGATTCAAAGTGTGATCATACAAGGGAAAAACAATAGCAATCCTTGAAATTTAGAAAAGCAATTTAGCCTTAAAAAACAAAAAATTCCACATTAAATAAAAACTGTCAGAATTAGAGGAAATTTATTTAAACACATACTTTGAGTAAATTTTATACACATACTCTATAATGACTGTATTTCATTAGATAGTGAATTTTTACACACATACTTTATTTAGGTGTTGATTTTTTTCCTGTTCTGATCATTTGAATGCTTGACAATTTAGTTGATTATTGTACAGTATGACATCATCGGTGGTAACCCTCTCTCCCCAGATGCCCTCTGATAACCCAGACTCCTAATCCCAGGTTTATCTAATTAACAAGTGGTTCGTTAGTTCTCACACATTGCCTGCAGTCTATACAGCTAATGGATTCCTTCTGACCACCAGAAACACTGCTTCTCTAGCCAACTCTAATCACTAGTACACTACCTCTAACAATCATTCACACAAAATGGACATTTCTTCTCTGGATAATATCTGTGACTTTGATATGACAGAGAGTACTAGTTCAGATCTAGAGTAAGTTAAGGATTAATGCTACATTTAATTCCCCTCTTCATCCCTCCACCCCAGAGAAAATTCTAACAGTCTTATATGTTCCTAAATTCTACTTCTATTTTAATGAATGCAAATATTATGGTCAACAACTTAACGAACTTGACACATTCATCATTTATTAGACCTCTTTCAGCAGGTTAGATGTTCATAATTAATTTCACCTCTGAATTCATCCATATTTAATTGTGTTTTGAATTAAATGCCAAATATTACAAATGTCCATTACTATTAATTATATAGGAAGCACTAATACCATGTCAGCAGCCAAGAGTTCTAACCAAATCTGAAAATCAAAATCATACAAACCATATTTACCCTAATTGGCACAAACACTGCCCCCCCCCCCCCCCCCCCCCCCCATATGTTACTTCCAATCTGATAATAGTATTGTAAGATACTTTCTCCAAACTACTCCTGAACCATCCATTACTTTTCTAACAGTGCATTTTATTAATTTTGTAGATAAAATTTCATAAAGATTGTCTGCTCAACTGCAAACAGATAAATGCTTTCAAAAATCTAATTGCTATAATATTAATAACCTACCAATTAGAATATATTAAAATGGTTTATAAGCGAAAAAATTACGTTTTCAATTTTACACTCTGTTACAGATCAGTCTGATAAATGCACCCTGGGCACTTATTACGGCAAATACAGTATCTGTATAAACACGATGCAGCTTTTGCATTTAGCGGTGACTCATGTTTTACTCACTAATAATGCGGCAATGTATGAAAATACTCAATTTACACATGCAGTAAAGTCCTAATGTGCATTGATTCCCTATAAACAGATTAAAGCATGCATTTGCGTTTTGTTTTTTCAGTGAAGATTCACAGGAGAAGACAGATGACAATAAGCTATCATTTAAAGACAAATTAAAAGCCTTTGAGAAGAAGGATGACAGCAAAGAGTCCCCCCTCCGACCAGGCCCCACCCCCAAAAAACGACCCCAGAGCGAGGCTTTTAAGGCCTTCGAGGGCAAAGGGCTCATTATGGGAATGCCTATGGTAATTCTATTAACATTTCTCTAACAGACTTTAAATCAGTTAGTTTATTTGGTGAGTAGATGATGATCATATGTGGTTTTGTGTTCATCATGTAATTTCTCTGGAGACCATCATCTGCTATTATTAGGTTTTGGGTGATGATTCTGCCTTGTCAACATTAGACACATCATAGCCATCATGCAGTTATATTCAATTGCAGAAAATTTTTTATGTGCACACATAAAGTGTCAATCATAAAAATACTCAAGGGGTACAGAAAAACAGGATGAAAACTATCTAGTCAATTGACAAAAACTACATTTATATGAACCAGGTACCTGTTTTTGATGACTTGCTACAAATACATGTGGAAATTTCTGTTTATGTCTGTTTATTTTGTACCAGGGCCAAGGTCCACGATTTCCTAAACCAAAGGAGACGCAGAATGAGGAAAAGGAAGAAGCCGACGTTATAATGCGACCAAAAATAACCATCACCCCTTCCCCCGATGCAGACTCAGATACTGGGTAATGCAGTTCATAGAATCCTGAAATATCTTGATCCATACAGCAAAATTAAAATAGTATTTTAATTTTGCAGTTTTTTTGTGCAAATTTGTGCACTCTTTGTAATGCAAAGTAAAAACTAAATCTAAAAGCTGATCAAAGTTTCTAATGTATTAGATGGGTTTAATCATAAAACATAATATTTCTTCCAAAAAAAAAGACATTTCACATACTGTGAAATCATATGTTTCCGTGGGGGGTTTAATTTTCGTTGTATTTGAGGTATGATGAGACCCACAAATTCATGTCCATCACAAAATGTAAAATGTTACATACACAAGTACTCATTAATTCTTGATCCACAATTTCAAATCCCCACAAACCAAGAGATTTTCCTCAAACCACGAAAATTTGACCCCAGGAAATATGTTATTTTACAGTATTGTAAGTTTGAACATGTTTGGGGAAAATAATGTTCATACTCTTTTTCAATTTCAAAACAATAGCTGTTGTGCAAAATTTGAGATCTTGTCTGGGTAATTAGTGCTATCTGAATGTGCTATATATAACACATGAAATACAAGATATTTTGCTATGTACTTGATTTTGTGGTTCTGCTTTCCACCAAAATTGCTAAAGTAAATAGAATACACTGCTAAATATTTTACATTTACAGTATACTGTATTGGTATATTTTACAGAAGTTACAAACAGCCAGATAACCCTGATGTAGTGATAGCTGATGAGGATGATGACGACTCAGAATTTGGGGCCATCAAAAGGGAAACAGCTGTTCTAAGATCAGTAAGTAGACACTTATGAAACAATCTCTCATAAATCTTACAGCTAGTGCCTTTTAAGGATAAAAAAAATATATAGTGCACCACTTAAAATCAATTTATCTTCCATAAACAAATTACTATGTTGATTTATTTTGTGTATTTAGGTTAATTTATGAATTCAAAAAATAATTCAAATGTTTGTCAAGCCATTGGAATTTCCAGCCAAGAATTAAAATGATAAAATGCTAAAATTAGAAGTTTCACTTTCAGTATCGGAAAGCCCCTCCACCCAAGAACAGAAACCGTTCTTCCGCAGCATTCAGGCGTAAAAATGCTCAGCAATCTATGGCACAATTAGTAAGTTGACAAAGTGCTGGTAATTAAAGTTTCAAAGAATGAGGTACCAACTTCTATTATGGAATATTCTTGACAAGTGATAAATGATGATTCTAAAAATAGCTGTGATAAGGTTGATAAGCACAATGAAATACATTCAGGAAATGTTGTGTCAATGCATTAAGTGATCACCATCGTAATAAAGACAATGCATTAAGTATTCACTATTGTAATAAAGACAATGTTATGAAGTCCACTTAGACAAAGCTACAGTAGACATGACTTCATTTTTTTGTTAGCTTGATGAAGGCTTGGATGTTGTAAGTGTGAAACCTATAAACAAGCGGGCATGCAGACGACAAACAGGGCATGACTTACTGTTTATTGCTTTTTTATTTTTATGATATTTATATCATATTCATGTATGTATATAAGAGATCTATGTGTACATGAAGTTATGGCTTCCAAAATATCCCTTTTTTCAGACTAAAAATTTTCCAATATTTGATCCCTCTTTCCTTACTTCAACTATTATCATTCCCAAATTTCTATCAGTTTTTCCCAAATATTTTAAATTTTTCTAAAGGCTGTTTTACTCTGCATTCAATTCTGTTACACTGTATTCACGAATTCTTCACATATTCAAAATGTTCCATGCAGCTGACTGTTGCAAATATGGAAGCTATTCACTGGTATTCCACATACTGGTATTTGTCTCTTTATAAGTTTGATGTGTCCACAAGAAATAAATTTGATTTGTTTTCGAGGGAAACAATAAATTATTCACCATATGTTTCTATCTCATCACGAATTTTCCATATACTGTCATTAGATTACCTTTGATTGATTTTACCTACTTGTTGATGTTGGGTGTCTTGTGACACAAATTAAGATTTAAATATGATCATTGTACTTATCACTTTATTTTACTGTACAGATAGGTGAAGATAAAGAAGAAGAACCATTGCTATCAACAGAGGACAACAGTCTCATACAAAATGGAGGAACTAAAAATAAAGACAGAACCAAGCTGTCTCCAGAACCTAACGAATCAAACCCTCCCAAGGCCAAAGAAAGGTCGCGCTCAAAGACGCCTGAAAAATCTGACTCAGAAAAAAGTGCTTCAAAAACTGTCTCAGAAAAATCAGGTTTGAAAACTCCCGACAAATCTGATTCAAAACCTTTTGATAAAAGTGGCTCAAAAACCCCTGAAAAAGCTGGGTCAAAAACACCAAACAAAGAGCGCTCAAAGACACCAGATAAGTCTGGCTCAAAAACTCCTGAAGAAAAACCTGCCAAAGTAAATAGTGATAAACAGACTGTAGATAAAACAGTGACTTCTGATTCACCAGCCAGCTCTGGCATTCCCGCAGGAGGAAATATATTTGCACAAATTGATCCAACTGTCAAAAAGACGTCTCCTGCCGCAGTTACTGCACCAACGAGTCTAGGTAATGCTTCGGTTTAAGGACAACAATTACAGTCTCTCTCCTCTTTTCATAGAAATCTCTTACAATTCAAAGAACTTTCTGAAGGCAAAAAATGCTGGTGAAATCATGTACACTGTAACAATTTTTTTTCTACTTGAAACTGAAATATATTCTCACATATCCTCTCATATATGGAAAATTTAAATTTACTTAAACTTTTTTACAGAAACAAGGAGTCGTGCCGACAAAGTGAAATCCTCTCCTTTATTTTTAGAAGATGACAAACTAATGAAAGGTGGGTCAAATTAACTCTTTCACTTTTCTTAATTTCTAATGATTACATAAGGTTTAAGTTAAAAATTTAACTGGAAAAATCTCTCTGTGTTTCAGCCTTGAATGAAAGATTAAAGGCACAGCAAGAGGTAGGTTATAATGAACATCAATAAAAGTCTCTGATCTTGTCAACTATTTAACTGATTTGCAGTTGTTGTAGCCAGTTATCAATTATATGGACACCATTTTATTTGCGTTTCCAGGAAAATGCTGACAAAGACAAACGTCGTCGGTCACTAAATACAGATCTGTGATAGGCCTGAGTTATCTACCCCTGGATTGTATCAATCACCATATCAGCACCATACATTGATTCACTGTATACATGTACCTCTTAATGTTATCAGGTTAAATGTGTAATATTCTTTATTGTCATTCTAAATCAAGAAGAGTCTTCCACTTTTCAACTTCAAAACAGATTTTTTTTTTAATGTGATTTGTGCATTGTAACTCTTCAGTGTAAAAAGTATAAACATATTTTGTTTATTAAAATGCTTCCGGAGCTAAGAGAATGAGTGTAATGTGTTGAAAACTGCTGTCACAATCATTGTCAAAAGAGAAATTGTGTTATCTAGTTGTTTGAATTGTGATATGACTGTAGCTGAGTTCCTTTGATTGTTGAGAAAAAGAAATGTTGAACAATATGTCTGCTGTCAGTACAGATGAAATTCTGCTTTATTGTACGAGATGATTGCTAGTTCAAATGGTGTAAATGTCAATGGCTCAAATAAATTGTGCAATAGATAATTTTCACAGATTATGCAACTACCACACATCACTTTTTATTAACAATGCTTTGCTTTTTTTTTCAAACTATGAGTTTTGCTTACAGTTCCAAAGAAAATAGATGTTGCTAATATTTTATTATAATAAATTGTGCTAAAACATTTATTTTGTTTTTAAGTTTTCAACATACCCAAAGGGAAAGGAAAAAAATTGATACAAATATGTATTTAATGAAATAAGGTCAAAAAGTATCAAATGTAAAACCTTTTTAGGAAGACTACAGATTGGTAAATCCTGACTTATATTTATGTGCTATATCTGTCTTTAAAGGGACAGGATAACCTATCAGTACCATTAGTACTTTGATGAAGACTGTGTACATGTGTCCTAAGAAAACCTGATTTTTAAAGGATGCTATAAACAAGATGTAAAGGAGAAAGGCCGAAAACTGTCTATTCTTTAAGAGAAAACTAATCAGGATTGAAAGGTTGAGTAATGTATGCCATAATCAAGATGTGCAGTTATTTGAAAATTTAAAAACAGATCATCGACATTTAATTGGAATGCAGCAGTAGATTTTGTTGTCCAGTTTCTACCTGAGACAGTTGTCATCAGAACAATCAAGCATGTAATAGCTACAATTCCAGTCTCAATGAGGGATAATAAACCTCAGAAGGAATCAATAAAATTGATACATGAATCAATCAATAAAAAAGAAATTGGCATAGTTCATACCAATCATAAAACACAAATATTTCATTTACCGGGTACTTTCTCTATCTCATGTCATAAAAAAGCTTCTAGGGAGACAATATTAACTGAATATATTGTTTAAAATATTGTTGTTAACCAGTTGACAAAACCTTTCCTGTTTTACCTATAACAACATTGTCCAAATTTTTTTTAAAGATAAATTTACATATTTGATTGTTCTGATGATGACTGTCCCTAGTCAGAGCAAGTCAACAAAATAATTCTACTGCTGCATTCTCATGAAGTGTAGGTGATCTGTTTTTTACCTCTAAGTTTACAACTTTAGGTACGACCCTATTAAATACTGTTTGGTATCCACACATGAGAATTTTTTGTTTTACTTTGTTTTGAAAATGAAGATGCTAATTGACAGAAAAATGAGAAAAGATTTCACAGCAAATGATAGAGACACATTAATGAGGCTGGAGAGGAACTTACCCTGTCTTTGAATGTGTTAGGTAATAGTTTGGTGGGGTTGTCAGGCTCGGGGAGGTGAATGAAGAAGCCCAGGACGTCCCCCTCTGTGTACCCCCCATCACAGTAATGCTTCCCCCGACTCTGGTGGAACCGTGTCCCTCTCCGAGACCGAAACGAGTAACTAAACTTATCATACCCAGTCGGCGCCTGAAGGTTACCTAGAAATTAGATTAGTTCATTGTTTTAAGACACACTGACTAAAACTGGAAATGGATTGGGAAAATGTTTCAATGGAAGTTATTTTAAATACTGAATGTTAAGATAACTTACCCAGTGACTGTGACCATCCTATCCTTGTGGCCGAGTCCTGTGGCATCTCATCAACACTGACCTCAAAATACCACGCCCCTCTTCTTACCCCTAAATACCAGTCAGTTATAAGTCAATTACTGACCTCAAAATACCACGCCCCTCTTCTTACCCCTAAATACAAGTCAGTTATAAGTCAATTACTGACCTCAAAATACCACGCCCCTCTTCTTACCCCTAAAATATAAGTCACTAATTAGTCAATTACTGACCTCAAAATACCATGCCCCTCTTCTTACCCCTAAATACAAGTCAGTTATAAGTCAATTACTGACCTCAAAATACACCACGCCCCTCTTCTTACCCCTAAAATATAAGTCACTAATTAGTCAATTATTGACCTCAAAATACCATGCCCCTCTTCTTACCCCTAAATACAAGTCAGTTATAAGTCAATTACTGACTTCAAAATACCACGCCCCTCTTCTTACCCCTAAATACAAGTCACTAATTAGTCAATTACTGATCTCAAAATACCATGCCCTTCTTCTTACCCCTAAATACATGTCACTAATTAGTCAATACTGACCTCAAAATACCACGCCCCTCTTCTTACCCCTAAATACATGTCACTAATTAGTCAATTACTGACCTCAAAATACCACACCCCTCTTCTTACCCCTAAATACATGTCACTAATTAGTCAATTACTGACCTCAAAATACCACACCCCTCTTCTTACCCCTAAATACATGTCACTAATTAGTCAATTACTGACCTCAAAATACCATGCCCCTCTTCTTACCCCTAAATACCAGTCAATTATAAGTCAATTATTGACCTCAAAATACCACGCCCCTTTTCTTACCCTTAATACAAGTCACTAATCAGTCAATTACTGACCTCAAAATACCACGCCCCTCTTTTTACGTAAAAATACAAGTCAATATTTAACAATTAAAATTATTAAAAACAACTTGAAAACAAGATTTGTCACTTCCAGCAAGTTTATTTTACGCAACAATTATAAAGACAAAGATTTAGTAAGTTATATTAAAAAAGATCACTCAATGAATTAAAAATTTATTGTCAAATAATTACTGAAAAATTTGATCTTAGTGTACATAAAAGAACAAAGAAAGGGAAGTAACTTCTTTCCAAAATAGACTAAAAATTTCCAACATGATCAGTAGCGTTTTTCCCAGCACCAAACCAGGATACCTAAAATTAACAGTTCTATCAATTAGTTTACATACCATGAGTGGCTCGGACCATGCTGTAGCCTTTTTCTCCTGTTACACTTAGTCTGTCATCAGAAACCTTTAACTGGGGAGCTGAAAAAATTATATCTACATGTAATTCTGTAGTTACTATCAAATCATTTAGAACTTACAAAAATTCTGAAAAACACCGACTCAAATCTATGCTATATCCCTGATGAAAAATCAAATACATTTACAGTATTTCCAATTTTTTTTCTAGTTCACTACATGTATATAGGAAAGAACTGGCCTGGGGGCCATAAAACTTAGACAAGCTCACATTTGATCTCAGTCCGACTTTAACTAAAGGAATTAACAGTAGAAAAGTGAGACTGAGATCAAAAGTGAGCTCGACTAAGTTTTATAGCCTCAGAGCCAGGAATTGACCAGCAATTGAGACATTGTCAAGTCAAAATTATAGCAAAAATATTCAAATCTTTTTCTTAGCTTTTGCAGTTTGTAAGAAAAAAACCCCTCAAATTGCAAAAGCAATAAAGTGCCACGCCACAGCATGATACGCCCGTCAAAAAATTACAATTATCTTAAACAGTTTTAAGTGCAAGAAAATCTGATGTCAACCTTGATTTTAAGATTTTCCAGGATTTTTCCACTCCTTAAAATATTTGTTTATCCATCTCCTGTGGTGTAGGCTCTGATTATAACAAATATTGTATCATTCATAGATTTCTATACTGGTTGTGTTAGACCTTGCCAAATGCCCATCATATTAAAATATATCAAATTAGTCTTAACAACTTAATCTATACCTAATTAATTTTGAAAATAAAAGGCTGGCCGTCAAATATAAACTGACCAGCAGTTCTTCTGTCTAATTCCCAAAGGATACAGATAAGCCGATGCTCTGAAGAAATGATTGAGAGGCCTAGCCTTCCTACATTGAACACATTAATTAATCTTTAACTGGATGCTTGTCTACTCATTACTCCTAATAGATTATTGGATCTGCACTATCTACCATAAAACAATTTTAAAACATCTAAAACATCAATGATTTTTTAGATTTAATGTCAAACAGGTTTTAATATGCAATTTGTATGGACATGCTGATTCCACCCCCACCCCATAAAATTAGTTTTTAAATGCATAATATTATGTAATATCAAAATAGTTTAATATGCAATATCAAAAATTAATTTTTATTACTTTTCATCAGATTCATTATAAAACTTGGGCTAGCCAACAAGAGCTATTTTTAATCCAACAGGCTAACCACATTTGCCCAATGCCCAGGGGGATATAGATAGCACTGATGCTCTACCAGCTACTCCTCACATTAAACTCATTAATTTATCTCTCTAATTTGACGTGCAATCTTCTGTTATCAAAATTCTTCTTGACCAGTGCTTGATAACTACACTCATGGGAGTGATGGAATTTCTCTAACACACATTATATTTATTATAGATTGCTGTCAAGAATATGCTAAAAAAAAAAGTATTTTCTTGATTTAACATTTTTTTAATAAGGATAGTGCAATACTCTTACATTTGTTGGAGTGTGTTAATGAAAAGAAAAAAATACACATTTTTTTTTTAAATTTCACTTAAATTAAAGGTCACAGTGACCTTGAAATAGGTCGCGACACACCTTCTACCTAAGATGCATAAACTGGCCAAGTTTGATGATTCTAAGTCTAACAGTTTTCTAGTTATGGACCGGACAGGATTTTTCCATATTTGGCTATAACTTTTTATTCATAGGTCAGAACGACCTACTTTTTGTGCGCGACACACCCTCTACCCAAGATGTATCAGCTGACAAAGTTTGATAACTCTAGGCCTTATAGTATTAAAGTTATGAGCCGGACACAAGAAAAGCTAACAGACGGACAGACGGACGGACAGACGGACGGACATGAAGCCTATAACATAATACGTCCCGTCTTAAGACGGGCGTATAAAAATACTGCAGCTATTTTTGAGGGACAAAAACTAATTAATCCGCTACACAGTACAAGATTTTATTTATGCATTCTCAATGACAACAAGCTCCATACCTCTATCATTCAGTGCTAGGAGTACATCCGTCCCTAAGAACGTTCTGTAGAGGTACCCTGGGATAGGTTTACCCGCCCAATCCAGACTCTCGTCAAATGCCTGTCTGTTCGGAGCGTGTGGATCTGACTCGGCGAGGATGTACCGGTACCCGTCCTTGTTAAATGGGTGTTCTAGGGGGTAGCCATGAGGTGCCAGCTTTGTTGTGGGCCCAAGGTCACTACAATGAAAGTAAGTTTGATTTTTTTATTCCTCTTAAATATGCAGTTCAGAGATTTTAGCTATCCAACACCATGAAATGATTTGATTGTAAACTTTTGTTTTTCTTAGCTTTGATAGTCAAATTTACCCAGAATCTGAATACAGTGTAGATGTGATGACGTGTGGATGTGATGATATCATCTTGC